ATTCCAGCGGCCGGCTGCTCTGGTCGATAGTTTCCGATGATTTCTACAATCAACATGCCGGATCAGTACCCTAACAAACCGCGCGCGATGTTTCTTTCCTATTCCTTGTCCTATTCTCACCCCTTACATTTACTCACACTTACGGACACTACATTACCACTCACGACTGGAAACCGGTTGGGAGCGTAGGCAGTGCCACGATGGTGAGAGATAACTGGTTGCAAAAAAACCGCAAAGTCGGCGCTGGATCTCGCCTCCTACGAGAAAAGATCACCGCCACCACCTGAGATAAAAAACTTACACTATACTTACGGGACTAATGATCTTAGCCGTTGACGCGCCTGAAAACAATCAACGTAATAAACTTCTAAAGCATCTGGAGCGGTTGAAGCTTAGCACTTTTTTCCAATGAACATATGGTGGGAAATAGAATGTAAGGAAATTACACTAGTGATATTTTCCCCCGATGGGTAGCAGATCAATAACGCATTGATAATCAGAAGGTACACGAAAACGCCCTTTGATTGTGTCTGACTGAGGCCAGCTAAACGCCCATGATTGACGGGTTGCATATCAAACAGGGGCAAATGTCGAGTAACTTCGCACCGTATGTTCATGAAAAATTTGTCTTCGACTGCCCTATATGCCCTACAAGCTTCTAATTGTTTCTGAGACATTCTGTATATAATACCACATATAATACGCTAAAAGTATGTCCTCTTATGTGAAGAGATGAATGACAATTGCAAGAATAATCAATTTCACACAAAATTTGATAATAATGTACAAATCTATACGTTGTAGAAAAAGTTTGATAGAAGAGCTAGTTTTCTCATTTAAAACTGCTAAAGAATCCTGTTAAAATTTGTCCATGCAAAACGTGTTGTTGAGTATTATTCCGATAAATATAAGTGTTCATCTTTACTTATAGTAAATGTTACGTATAGTAACTTAATTTACGTATAGTAAATGTTATTAAAGTGTACTTAAGCACCTTGTAGATGAGGACAGATGGCTGGCGGACAGTGGTCAAGACAGCCACTGGCGTTGTGTAAACTCCTAGGGACAGCGAGGAAGGCAGTTCCTATCGCAGCGCACTGTTCTATCTCGCTTGCCGGTTGCAATTCAAGTTTTCAAGACAGGACCGCTGCCAGTAGATTTCGAGGACAGTCAACTTTTGCCGTGGAAACGCTCGGCTCAGTGCAGAAGATAGTCGTGTGTAGGAAATGAGTGGTATTGGGTTTTAATTTCAGTTTGTGTGGTTGGTAAATATTGTCGGAAACAGATTAGTTTAATTAAATAATATTTTACTCTCACTTGTCATACGCTTATAATTGTGATCAGAATATTTCTATAGCAAATCGAAAAGCGGTAGAAAAATTTATTTTCGATTCCTGGATTTGTAAGAAGAAAATGAATATTTTGGGGGATGTAGCCCTTCCACACTAGAAAAACTCATCTCTTAGAGAAATTTCAATAAAGCTCGTATTGAATATTTTAAATTTCTGTCACGTGAGTTGTGATTCATTAAAAGAGAATAGCAAGTCAATAAAGTGAGGTTATGTCAAGCTGGGTGTTTAACAACACGTCTCATCATCGACAGCGGCGCCATTTTCTTTCCCGGACAGTCTGAATTTTTCCATCTCCGAAAGTAATTAATTGCCTGTTTTGGAAATAGCCTCAATTTCATTATAGATATTTTATTTTCGCGGAATTCATGAAAATAGATTCATTCGTTAAAAAGCACTTTCTTTACAACCAACGTTTAGACAAAGATTTTGTTTGTTATCATGCTCTCAAGATTATTCATATAAACATCTGTGACTCTTTCACATGGAATCGAAAACCTTTTCACCAAATACATGATACCACAGATGTCCATGTCTGACATAAGATAACAGATGTTTACATGAATAATCCGTGAATATTAGAAACTTTTTTTTCGAAACTTTGGTTGTAAAGAACGTGGGATGTAACAAATGAACCTGTTTTTTGTGTATTTCATGAAAATGATCTGTCTATAATCAAATTGGGTCTGATTCTAAAATATTAATGACAACAGACAGTATATAAAAATATAATAAAAATGACTTGTCTGCTTTTGCGCATTTCCACGAGTCCGGCACGTTGAAACTAGTGAAGGAGACAGCGGCTGTCCTGCTGACAAAAAAGGGGGACTCCTGTTTACGTGAAAATTATTATGAAATGGTGGAAAATTGTAAATTTCTAGAAATCCCAGAATGGCACTACAGATTCCAAAGATAAGAGACTTATCTTTCTATGCTATCTTCCGATCTGGCTGTAAAACTTCAAACATTTTACGCAGGAAGGCTACTTGTCCAGACACATAAAATGTTCTGTATCACAGTACTTCTTTCCAGATTTTTTAGACAGTCCTACATGTCTGTCTACAATAAAATTGGACAAGAAAATTTAATACAATATTTAAAACAGTCTCGAGATAATTGGATGAGAGTGGAATACTTCTGTTCTTCTTGGATTAGTAAATCATACTCTTGAAGAATTGTTCAGTATGTTAAGCTACGAAAATGGCAGAATGATAATTTTGAGAGTTGTTACAGACAAACGTATGGAAGGAACTACGTTCCATACGGTTGTCTCTAACAACACAGATCTTGGAAACTGAAATAACATGTATAATAGAAGCGTTTTGGGAACAAGTTCCGAAAAATTAGATTTAGATTTAGTTTTTAGGCTGAATAAATCCTAATCTAAATCTGACTGTCGTCCAGCTGGTTGTCCTCATCTAAAAGGGGCTCTACTTAGTTTGCTGCTACTAAAAGCTACTTTTTTAATAAATAATATTGTTGGCAATGACGACGCATATGATTATTTCATTGGAAATGCCAACGATAACTCTCCACAATACCTGTATTTACTTAGTTTGTTCGAACGCTGGACGGGGAGGTGAGTGTCGCATTGTGTGTGGCAGGCACATCCGGGAGGACCTGGGTGAGTGGGTGAGTCGAGACGACACCAGTCGGATGAGCGCCGAGGAGCTGGAGTTCCACTACTTCCAGTGAGTACAAGTGAAATTTTATTTATCAGCACTCATTGCGTGTAAGCTAATACTTACCCTCACGGTTTATTGATTGGAAAATGTTACTTTGACGTACGCGAAACGCAAATAAGGCGTGGTTATATATAACAATTTGGTAATCAAATCTCTGAGGTGACATGAATCAAGATGGCTGCCATCTCGCATAATGATCGTATGATCCCAAGACGTACTAAAAGTAATGTATGCATCTCCTACAAAACTTTCTTTGTTCTTCTCATTTTCAAAATGCCGAGCTTGGCTCCTTTTTTTTTGCCTCGTCCATCGACCTTTTACTCGTAAGCCAAAGACTCGGTTTCTGTACTAGTTGCTTATATAGCTTTATTTAAATGTCATTTCATTCGTACGCCAAAGACTCACTGCACTTTCTGCACTATTACGTAAATGACTATTTACTATTAGAAGATTTAGTATAGGCTGGTTCTTTGGAATTTTGAGCAGCGCCCTCACTAAACAAATCAATTACGAGAAAAGTTGGAGTTATTAATTATTTATTAAATCGACTCTTTTAACAGTCTATACCAATGCGATTCAATGAAGCCTAAAAGTTTCCTCTATTTTTTTAGGTTTGGGATTTCTGTGTCATCATTAAGATTATTCATCATTAAAAACTTTCTTAATTCTAAGAGATATTGCGGTCTTTAAAGGCTTATCAGATGTTTACAAAATAATTCAAAACTGTCAACATGCGCAATCGCTTCGTAGAAACCCCGGCGTTCTCTTACAGCCAATCCCTCTCACAAACAGGTTTCAACTTTACTTTTGTATCGTTTTTTGTAGAGAACCTCTGTGCTTTCGGAGAAAGAGCGTAAATCTTGAGGAAGTTCTTCAAAAAATTGATGTCGCTTTATGGGTATTATGAGTGTCTAGAATTGGAGGAGGAAAAATTGTTTCCAGATGTATTTAGCAGATATTAGCAGATACAATCAGTTGGTATTTTCAGAAACGTTTTCATTTTTAAAACTTATTGATTTATTACGTTTATTTTTAATATCAATTCATTGTCTTTAATTCTTTCAAAACAATTTATTTCAATACACTTGAATATTTGTGTTTTATCTTTATTATCTTGTATATCATAAAATACATGATTTTATATATTAATCTCTTTGTTTATTTATTTATTTGCGTAGCGTTGCTTTTCGGAAATACTGTTGTAACCAAAAAGCGTAAATTCAGATTTTCAGATGAATCGGTCCTAAACAATCATTTTTAGGTGGAATAAGACTTTATATTTGCCATTATAGCAATTGCAGCTTGGTAGGACTACGGTATTGATGACTTCACTATTTCATGGACCACGCTATTGAATTTCTTGGACTTTCATGGATTGGATCATGTTATTAATTTTTGAGAATATTATTGCTGCAAACATTTTTTTTAACAAATCCTTTTTTTTTATTTTCCCGTTTGAGTTTATTAAAAAATTCCTTTTGAATAAATTCAAAAATAAAGAAACAAAAATAATTTTTGTTATAACATATAAAGCGATGTTATTTATCGACGATTAATAGAACACAAATGAAGTTGTGGGAAAATTAAATCGCGTTCTCTAAAACAAAAGAGGTTTTCTGAGTTACAACAGTAGTAGTTTCAATAATGCCGTGGTAGTAGCAAATATCTTGTGGTAATCCGCAATGTGAATTTGGAAATAATCAATCACAACAATCTTAGTAATAACATTTATTACAACGTACCCAAAGGTAGCTTTCGGGAAACACTTTTCCAAACTTCAGTGGGTCTATTACATGGAGTAGGATGAAACGAGAAAACATCGTAAAGTATGGGAGGAAGTACAAATATAGAAAAATACGAGATAAAAAATGTCAAATAAAACAAAATTAATAATAAATAAAATAAATTAAAAATGACATAACCCGCTTAAATTTCCTAACTGACAGTATTCCTGATAAGCGGCGCTATGTCGGGTGTACACGCGCTTAACAGAGCATTGGCTGTCCGCAGGATCCACGACGTGGACAACAACACAAAGCTGGACGGGCTGGAGATCCTGCAGGCCATCCTTCACACGGCGCCGCACCGGCTTGCAGCCCTCGCCGGGAAGGCGGGCGCGTACGGCGGGGCGCCCGGGGACGCGGCGGGGAGCGCGGCGGAGCGCGCGCGGCCAAGCGGCGGTGCAGCAGGAGGCCGAGCACGCGGACGACCTCGCCTACTTCGTGGGTGAGTGAACGCGCGCCCGAGGCGGGACTCGAACCCGCGATCCTTCGGGCCGAGATCGCGCTACGGCACTACTGCCTTCCGGCCATCCGGACCGGCGAGAGAACGCATGAATTAATTTAATTGGAGGACAAAAATAAATACATGAATAAACAAAATCAATCTTTGTAAACATTGGCATACCGCAGGAGTCTTCAACGTGCCTGCTTTCTGAAAGGGCGGATATTTTAAAAAAAATAGTTTTTGCTACTTTCTGTACTAATGAATATCATTCAATATGCAATTAAGTAGGTGTCTCAGTATACTAATTGATGTCTCTGCAGTACCTCTGATCGGGACGTCCTAGGGTTCGTGTCCCGAAGGTAGACAGATTGTCGATACTAACTAGATACAGCCGCTGTCTGGGGGGAGAATTCTAGCGGCCAGCTGCTCTGATCGGTAATTGTCCGTGGTTTCCCCGATCAACACCAGGCGAATGCTGGAGCAGTACCTTAAGAAACGGGCCACGGACCGTGCGCGATGTTTCCTTCATCTTCCTTGTTCTATCTTCATCCCTTACTTACACAGTCTCATATACTACACAACTACACCGCGCCAAATCTCGCCATCAAACGGGAGAAGATCATCACCACCTCCCACGATAAAAAAGCACCACACTTACGGGATTAATGACCTTGAACGTTGACGCTTCCAGTATAACTAAACAATCGATCAATCGACAAGTGAAGTGCCACATTACAAATATATGACCACATTCAAGTGATTCAAAGTTGCCTTCCGATCCGAGAGATAAGGTTTCTGTTATCTTCATGCCAAAACAAACTTGGAAACCGCCGACATTTCCAAATTACCAAAAATTGTATATTGGCAATACGAAGAGCCAGAGGCAATGAAGCAATGGCACCAAAGGGCATTGTCCACTTTAACATGCTGGAGTTTTGTTGGCTCACGTTTACGCACGCATAAGGTACGTGTAAGACTTACGTCGCCAAGCACAGGACTTAATAAAAGAGAAGAGTTTTTAGCCTAGCGTGAAGTGCTTTGGCGTTTAAATTATTAACTCTCTTTTGAGTCTCTTCTCATGCGCAAACTCCCATTAGGCGGAAAAAAACAGAGGAAAACGCGTCTTCACCAGAATTAGCGAGTGTAAGTCTCTGACTTATTTCAGACGCTAAACCAGTCACGTGACCAGGCTAAATAGAATTTGTTACCAAGTGGCCACAGTGCAAACTCTAAGGTCCCCTTGTGCTGCAACATGATCATGGTATTAAACCTTGTAAATACAAAAAGTGAGTCATTTCTGGTAGTAAACAATTTCACCAGCGTTTTACGCTTGCTATTAGTACTAAATAACTCCTTTACCATTATGGTCTCAAAAGCTTAGACTGCCATAAGAGTGTTTTTTGTAATTTTTCGATTACTTTGCGGTCTGAATATGATTGCAACTTTGTGCGCATTTCCAAGACTCGAAGCACGGCTGTCGATCGGGATTGTGATTCGTGACCTGTGATTCGCGAGTGCACTGGAATTCTGACAGCCGGCTCGCGGTCTAAGCTTCTTTTGTTTCTGATTAGGGCTTTTATCCAGCCGTCAGCTGGTTATCCATTACGTCCCGCTGGGACACCTGTTCGACCATACACTAGACATCAACACACTTGCGGGTTCTTCGGGGTCAGTCGAACGCGAGGCTCTCCGCGACAACACCTCGACCATCCAGGTTGGTGGTCTAAGCTTCTTGGTAGAGCGGTACACGGTAGAGCGCGGTCGTAATATTGCATTTCCGTCCATTCACAAATTTTCACATTTTTCTTCGTATATATCAGAAGAAAAATGTTTCCTTCGGCAGTACTTAGTTATCTTAAGAGCTTCCCTTCCCTTCTCCATTCTTCCCTTTCGTTCTCTTTCCTTCCCTTTCCTTCCATTCCTTTCCCTTTCGTTCCCTTTCCTTCCATTCCTTTCCCTTTCGTTCCCTTTCCTTCCCTTCCCTACCCTTTCCTTCCTTTTCCTTCCCTTTCCTTTCCTTCCCTTTCTTTCCTTTTCCTTACCCTTCCTTCCGTCCTTTTCCTTCCCTTTCATTTCTTTCAATTCCTTCCCCTTCCTTCCCTTTCCTCCCCTTTCTTTCCACTTCCTTCCTTTTCCTACCCCTTTCTTCCATTTCCCTTGCCTCCCCTTTTCTTCCTTTTCCTTTCCTTCCCTTTCCCTACCCTCCTTGCCTTTCCTTTATTTCCTGAAGCCCCTTTCAAAACATTTAAGAGGCTACGCCCCCCTCACGCACGCCTCTGCGTGTGCGCGACGGCGCGCCCATTGGCATCCCTTGGTGTTCCAGAGCTGATCGACCGCGTGCTGCTGGAGGACGACCTGGACCGCGACGGCTACCTCAGCTACGTGGAGTACGTGCTCGGGCGGCAGCGCGACGACGCGCAGCGGCACGCGGCAGCGCTTCAAGCGGCCAGGGCGCGCACCACCCGGCGCCGATGAGATGGTCCCGCCCGCTCGCTCGTTCGCGCGAGGGAATCGATCGTCCGAAAGAGTCGTTCGCGTGAAGGAATCGTTCGTGCGAAAGAATCGTTCACGTGAATGAATCGTTCGTACGAAGGAGTCGTCCACACCAAAGAATTGGTCTCCAAAAGGTCTCAGATTCGTACGAAGGAATCGTGCAAACCACGATGTTAAAATGGCATATTTCTAAGCTGTAAACATGACTTAAAATGAAATTCTATACCAGTTTGGAAGCTTGGTGAGGATATATAAAAAAAAACGTCCGCAACTGAACGGGTACACCTCTACTTTCAGCAAAATCGTGCGGCAGATTAAGAAACATATTTCGGCTTTTATCGTCTAAAATCGACGAGCATACACGTACTTGATGTTTGAGATTAGTGACCATTGGCTTAAAAATACCATGAGAGCTTTTTTCATCGTCGACAGGTTAAGCAGCTAACGACGCCGAGCCCCTGGCCCAAGGGATAAAAGCCACTGACTGACTACGACTGACAATTACTAACTAACAACGTAAGATTACTCCACGTTCGACGCCATTTTGTTAGGGAAAAAAGGATTTTTTTTTAACTTGTCAATGGTCATTTTGGAGTCATTCTAAATACTCTCGTTGGCAAGAGCACAGTCGGAGTATCACTAAACGATTATTCAAAAAGGCTCACTATGGGGCTAAATGTAATTCATTGGTACAGTTTAGAAATATGTGTGAAGGTAGAGCCAGACATGTAACAACGTAATGTAATGCAACACCGACGAGCAACTTAACATTCCATATCGCAACAGCACATCGTCGAGACATGTACATTTTAAGTGCATCAGGACATCTTTGATGTGTCGTTGGATAATTGACAAAACGTGCCGATGACGCGATCTGTCGCTCTCTGGAGAAACTATTTCAGAGTATTCCAGCGCCCTCTGGAGAACCAATTCACACAATTTCAGAGGACGCTGTCTGATGCTACGATGTTGCAGTTACGTTGTGTCTAACAATGATACGCAATGGCATTGCATATATGTTATACATTTTTGGAACCACCTTACGAGAATACAGCTAATTCAACTTGATACTAGTGTCAAGCAAGGTTTTTGCTTATTCGTGCATTGCATTGGATTCCACTTAGGTTCATAATGATGTCTCCTTAACAAGATTTCTGTTTTAAAGATGTGGTATTTTATTATATGCACACGTTTTCTTGAGCATCAGAATTCTCCTCTTCTTTGCCAAAACGGTTGAAAATAAGTAAAGGTATATGCGAGATTTGATAATCAGAAATATTTAATATTAATGTAATAATATTTACTCCTATTTCGTAGAAAGTGTTTCCTTCGTCAAACGAGCTATAGAGTTGACTTAATAGTACTGGAGTCGAAATAACCAAATTCTACACCACTTGAATGTAACGAGGTGAGATGTCAAGAAAATATGTGCCGATTATTTATATCGAGGACGCGAAAGAATAAAGTTCTTTTTTAGGAGTAATAAAGATGGATCGAAAATGTTTTCGTTTACATCTTACTTCAAATTGATTCGCCATTGTCCGCCATTTTGTCGAAGTTCTACCTATAGTAAATCAATCGCAGCACTATACGCGAGAACTAGTCTCGAAATGTTTGTTTTTAGATGGAAGATGAAGTACCTCTTCCCTGCCACCATGGTTCGCTTTGAACCCTAATCAGAATCAGGACGTAAGTGCCAAAGTAACTGCCAAAGACACGCATTTATAGCCAATAAATTTTGACCCATAATACCATGCCAAATCGATATGGCTGTCGTTCATGTTAATCCGATCGCGATTGCGAACTCGTCGTTCTTTGTGAAAAATTTGTAATATCTTCTCAAAATAATTGTACAATAGTCTGATAAAAGTTCTAAGAGATTAACAGCTACTGAATTACGAAGCAGAGGTGATTCCTTTTTCCAATCAATTCCGATTTCGATGTTTGGTGACGTCACAACAGGGTTGACAAAGCTGAGTGGAGAATACGTGACTGCTCTTCTATGTGAGTCAATGTTGAAAATTTGTTTTTTGTTGCCACTGCTACTTCTGAAACTTTTCAGGAATGCGTTATTGCGTAAAAAAAATGTCATAAGAATGCCTTTAGGTATTATCTGTTCAGTCATGTGAGCGATTTTTTTGACACTCATTGATGCCAAACCCAACTAGAGGCATGCTCGGTGGGTAGCACGAAGAAATGATTCGCATTCATTTCACAAACGTTGGCTAGCTTGCTTGTGCTTGAGCCGTTTTACTTCCTATTATTTTTATCATTCCACCAAGTGGAAAACTAAAACTTCCTTTTAAATAAATGTATTATTTCTTTACAATTTAGCATAATTATATGATTAAAATTTTGTCTTTTGCGGGTTTAATGAGAAGAGTAATGAGAAAAAATAAAACAACGCCTGCTCGTTGATATATGGTATGTATGGCCTGTCCGTTACATCCTTTTGGTCACTTAATTCACACGAATACATTTTTTTTCTTCTTTTTCCCCACGTAATTTGTGTAAATTATTACAATATGATTTATATTGATGATGTTACAACAATGTACATCACTCTGGAAAACATATCCCTAATCTAAAGCTACATTCACTGAACTGATACTTTTAGAGTTAACAGCTAACTCTCCAGTCCATATGTCTGGCGGAGGAATACATTTTGCGCTTCGATATATTCGATCGTCCGCGACGCTCAATTGCTTTAGAACCTATGAGAAATCGCCTACTGTCCTGAACAGACTATACGAAATACGTATATGGCGGTATTCAACTATATGCATTAAATATTCTACGGTTATTTGGCAGTATGTTTAAAGGATATAAACTGTGTGGATACGAAAGATAATGATCGACCGGAGAGACACACTCGTAATTGAGTGACCAGGAGCGTATCAGGTTTGATACTTGATCTTGGCTGTTCTTGACAGTGCTTTCATACACTGTTATAACCATTAGGTTTTTTCCAACTAAATACTTCGGTTTCGATGTGTTTCAAGATTTTGCCAGTATTCTACGAATTCGGTTTTATATTTTACTGGTGTCTTCCGAAAAACACGTATTTAATTCATAAAAACGTAAAAGAAGCGAAACTCTTGAAAAGAATAAGAAGGCTCGTGGTGAATCAGTCACTAAAAAATGAAGAACAGACCCCAAAATATCGTCCTGAAAATAATTTGGGATATTTCTGTTTGTTTATCTAGCAACACTGGGTCACATTTGTTTGAGAGATGAGCGATAAACTGTCACAGTTCAAGAAAGAGAAAGTGAAATTTAGTGTCCTATCTTCATATTTAATTTAAAAAATCAGAAATATCTTGCTCCTAAAGTTGTTTTTATAAATATTTTTAAAAAATTATGTTTGGAGGTATAAATTATGGTACGATTCCATAAATCCATCAATTATGGTACGATCAGGCAACACTGGTTCAAGCGTGAGCAACACACTCGAGTAGACTTACGCGCAGTAGGGCCATACTATCGCTGGTTAGAAAACATCGGGTACCCCCAATGCGAGCTAAGGATTGTAATCACCCAGAAATTTGTTGTGTCTGCGCTAGTAATTCGTTTAATTTGTTTTCTTGTGTTTCTTAAAATGAAATGTGAATGCCATTGTTTTTTATGGCGAGGCTGCCTCACGAAAAGCTAGGGAGTCGATGTTTTTGAGACGACATTCACTGTAGTCGTCACCGTCCTCTGTGACGTCAGTCAAGTACACAGAATCCGCGCTCGAAGAAATTGGTAACACGCATTCCTCTATTCCTAACAGCTCATCCCTCAGAAAGCTTAATCGGACTATAAAACCATGTTTTATATTGCTGCCTCGGCATGACAGAAGAGCATTTTGAAAATTTGGAGGAGTCTAATAAACATGTGTAAAAATCCAAATGAAACTAGTACGTTGTTTCATTCATAGGTTTTCTTCAAGTCTGGTTTGAAATCTGCTTTAATACGTGTTACAAAAAATTGTGATAGTGTTCGAGCATGTCAAAATATTATTTTCACTGAAAATTACAGATAGAACCTTGCCATTCTCAGGCCACAGTGTATTGAATTCATTTGATAAATTATGTTCTTGTTTTTATGGAGGGTTCTAGAGCCCAATACTTGTTTAATTAATAATATTTTAAAACACATAACGTATGTAATATTGTATTACAACATAAGCATGTATCAATAAATACTGTGTATTCTCTTACATTGAAGATAATTTATAATTAATGTATGTCTATTTACTGTTTGCAGTTATTTCAAAAACCTTTTTCACATGCGCTTAAATCAAGCGTGCAATGGAAGAAAAAGGTGTAAACTCTAGCAAACCCTTGAGTCATTGGCACAGCGTAGTACTTTAAAAACTCCCCTTGAGATGGCCCCTTGTTTTGTTTCTGGACGTAAATGTAGCCTCGTTATGCGCACGTTTTGTTGAACTCTCCTTTTGCTGGTAATGGTAGGAGTAGAAGTAAGGGCGAGTTACTATTTTGTTAGCAATGCAGAAAAATTATACTTGCATTTCGTTTACCGATGCAAATAATTTTTCTGTAACTCGGGAACGAAAATGTCTAGTTTTTCTAATGTTGCTGATCTAGCGCTTTTTTAAATTTTATTTTTATTTACTAATTTATCTTTAACTTTTACTCATCTTTCAACTATTTAAAGTTAAAATGATGGGAAGGGTTTCCGAAACTCAAGAAAACGTGCGCAGATGATCTTCTCCCCCATACGTCACGTACAGTTTCTACTGTTTTTTTACTTAATAAATCTAAAGTCCTGAACATGCCCCTGAATATACTTATAGCACCATAACCCCTTAGGTTTCAGGTTTGCCTTTCGGTCTCTGTCGCTAAATTTCAGATGAGAAGTATGACTTACCTATTTTTGGTTTGACTTTCTCGCGTGTTACTTATTTAAGAAATATACACAATGCTGCTACGAAAACAGCATTATTCAGCATAGAAAGTATTGTAGCTCCCTGATGGCGACAAAATGGAGAATTGTTGTTCCTATCTGTATACGAGTATTCGTATTATAATCTTATTCAGTTCTGTAGTGTTTTCTTACAACAGCGAGCGCCCAAACATTGGTAAATAAATGAAACGGTAGAAATGTGTCCGGGAAAACTTGCTCACTGACCGACCGAGCCAGAAACATTTCCGCCTCACAGGAGACTAACGAGAAACTACCGAAACTCTTTTAAGTATAAGGGGGCGATGTATCTTCCTTGTTGCGATTTTCCATATTTCTCGTAAAGCATTTTTGATTATGTCTATAACGGGCCTTCGGTGCCGGTAAATGACACCCGGAAAGGAATTGAGACAATATCGAAAATGTAGCTCCGAATGAAAATAATAGGAAATTAACTGGCACAAGAAAGTCTGAGTCATTTTGTTGCGAAAGTCACTAGTAAGGATCTGCGTCTGGAGCTAATTTTAATTGCATTTCATATCTACCGCTCAGCATATGATACATCTTCAATTGTTTATGTATCATCCGATTTTGTGACGTGTTTCTAGAGAAATTGAAGTTTGTCGAACACAACTATTACTTTCCGACCAATATATTTTGTAAATAGTTGCGTTTTTCTTAGTTTGTCGTATGGCCAAAAATAGTATTAATATTTTGCAATTATTGTTCAGAATTCCTTTCGTGTAGTTGGCGATTATGTCTTTGAAACAGAACAACCAACTTGACAACCTATAGATTTTGTTGTAGAAGTTTTGGTGAATGCTTGTGTGCGTTTGAGGAACGTTGAGTGTTGATGAGTGAAGCGATTACTTCCATTTTCTCTAGTTTTGCCTGAATAATTGAATTAGATAGTGCCGTTTTCTTGACCAAGTGCAATTGTACATTGCAACTGCGTTATCTAATAGGTAAGTAATTCCAGACGAAGTGGCGACTTAACCTCTATGTGGTGAGACGGAGTGATGCCTTAATGTTATTTTCTCAACCTAATGAATTAAATGAAGTATTTACGACATTTAATGCATTATGTTTGCTCGTAAAAAAACATCTGAAGTTGTAACTTGATTATTTCATCTAATCAATTTTAAAGACATTGCATTACATCACTTCGTTCTCAGTAATTTTATTGGGATTTCGAGAAATATTTAAAACTCACATGAATATGAAATCAACATAGTTAATGTAAGGTGTTATCAAAGTAAAGCAATTTAACAAAATAGATTTATTTACTATTTTTGTGATAACAAAAGCCTTATCTTCTGATGTTCAGCATTTATTCTAATTTGTTGTTTTCAGATCCCCAATACAATGGTGTCAGACAAGAAGACCGCTCGGCGCAGTAGGAGTAGGGAGCGAGAGAGAGAAAAAGAAAAGGATCGAGAAAAGGACAGAGAACGTGAAAGAGACAGGGAGAAGGAAAGGGAGAGGGATAAAGATAGAGATAAAGATCGATACAAAGACAGGGACAAGGATAGAGACAAAGAACGAGAAAAGGATCGTGAAAAGGACAGAGACAAGGATCGTGATAAAGATAGAGATAGACATGATCGTGACAGACGTGATAGAAGGAAGAGGTCGCGCAGTCGCAGCTTATCCAAGGAACGTGATAAGGACAAAGGAAAGAAGAAGGGTGACAAGAAAGAGAGATCTAGGAGTCGGGAACGGGACAAAGACAAACAAAGACATCGCCATAAGGATGACAAAAGGTACATGTAAGAGCTAACATTGTTAATAATTTGTTTTACCGTGTGGTTTTACTAGGATTACTAGTATGTTGATCAACTCTCGAGTAATCAAAAGTTATTTCAATTTCAATGTAATTATTTAAATTAATTCATTTATTACGACATGGACATACTACTGGTTATTTTAATTAAACTTACTTTAAAAGGCTTTCAATGACATTCTTCCTCATTGCCCTGATAAAACTTTTAACCATAAAAGATCACTGTCCAAAATTATTTACATGAAATAATGTGTCAAAACTGCCTTAAAAAAGTTAAAGCATTGTTTTGATTGCCCAAGAAATTAATGATTGTTCAAGAGCAAGGTATCTGGTAGCAAGTGATAATCAAATGGCATCACTAAAAAAAACTTTAGGCTTCATTGTTGTGATGTCTTTCCGAAGTTATATTTAGATTTGAACATAACTGTTCGTGACATAAATCAGCTGTTGTGGCGTCATTGAATCAAGAAAATGAATGTGAAAGCTTCCAATTGAATGATACAATAACAGCTGACAACCTGCCAAGTGCGGTTCTAAATAAATCAAAGTGTAATCAGTTTCACAAGTGTTGCAACAAATGTAACTCTCTTACATACATGAATATTGCAGTTTTCTGCTGCAGATTTTAGTTATATTCATTTTCCTGATATGTTCAAGTAAATGGTTTGCTTTCATATAGTATTCATTATTTTTGTTTTTTCCGAAGCCACAAATCTTTTAGAAGTATTTTGTAAGTTGCAAAATTTCTTTTGCAGTTTACTAATTTAATTGTTTGACCTTAACAGTGGTGTGAAAGACGAAGATGTAGATGTAAAGGGTGAAGTGAAAGAAGAAGTTGCTAAGAAGGAACCTTTGTCTTTAGAAGAAATTCTTTCAAGGAAAAAGGCAGATGAAGCAGCCAGAAGCAAGGTAAGTAGGTGTTCAAAGAGAAAACATTGTTTTGTGCCATTTATGTATCAACTGTTCTAAATAGTAGAATTCTTATTCTTTCATCCATGGTACATTTGAATGCATATTGAATTTCTTTGAACACCTCAGTTGTTTTCAGGTGTTGTATGCTATTTTACTTTTTACATTAAGTGAATTACCTATAGTCCAATTGAAATAAGAACCGACTTGCGAGCACGCTGGTAGGGAGTGACGGGGGACGGAGCAGCAAGGTCCACCCAATCGCAGTGACAGAGAGACAAGCAGTACTTCTAGTGGATGACTGCAGCCTTCCTCGTCACAACTGCAATATTCATCCTACGTCAAATGCTTTCTTCTGCCAAACAGACCAACGAAGCAAATAAATTTACCCTGAAATGTTCTCTATCATTACAATCACAAGAATTTCCATTATACTTTCACTATTTACATAGTTGTATTTGTCAAACAAATTACTGATCCAACAGAAACACTACACTTATTTCAGTCACTTTCCTTTGATGATTTTTGGAAGTGCTGGAACTTGGAGATTGAAGAGAAAAATAAGTTCTTCAAAATTTTGTTCCACAGTTCGTCTTCCCACGTCTTTGAAATTACTTTCTTAATATTACCTGTCACGTTGCCCCACTGCTGTTGTCCTCTCCTCAGCCTCGTTCATGAGCCGAGCTTTTCCACTTTGGTAGGTAACGTAAATTTTGCATTCTTCTCTGCCACTTAACTTTTTATTTGCGCCCAAATATTCTCAATACCATTTAAAGTGACAGTGGTACTGTGGCAATGGAATCACCTTTTGTCCATGTTTCTTGGCCAGTTCTGCTTTTAACAAATTCTGAATATCTTCAATATTAGAATTTTGGTGCACCAACCATTCAACAATCTCTTGTTTCTATTTGCAATAGTTGGTGCTTTATTTCAATTAAAGAGTGGTAAGGAGCATTGTTCAAAACTATTTTTTTAAGGTTTTCTCAAATTTGGTAACAATTTTCTTTCAAACCATTCGTGTAAAGTGTCATGCTTTATTTCCTTGACTGAAAAACGAAGTGTTTTTATCGGAAGTTTCAGCATGAACTACAATTATTCTATTCCCTTTACCGACAGTTACTGCCATTGTTCCATTGACAGTATCGTCTTTTCTTACTTTGCTGCACGTGTGTCCTGCATTTATCCACATCTTATCTCTCCGTACTATGTCACCTAAATTTTCATTTAGTAGCCTCCTTAAAAATCTACCACGCCACAGTATATGGGCGTTCCAGAAGTACTTTTCTGCCTCATATTTTTGAATTTAAATCTCAGGATATGTAACACATTTCTTAAAGATGATTTGCTACCTTGAGAAAGATCGCTTTCAGCTTGTATTATGTGGGGTTTCCCTTCCAGGAATATTATTTATAAATGTGTCGGCAAATTGCCTCACTCTGCAAGGAATCAGTTTGTAACATGTTTTTTGATTCTTTTCTTTCCTGGCATTTCTAACAGATGTGATTTCCCTTGCTATTCCTCTGCCTTCATTTTCTCTTTGCCTATTTTAAGAAATGTCTTTGGCTGCTGCAGTTCTTTCCACAACTTTGGTTACTGCCAAGAGTGAACCATTGTTTGTTTTTTGCTGTTGGAGATACTCTCTCCCATTGCCACATATTTCCCTCAACTGACCTTGCAATGGAACACCTCAACCAAATTGTAATATGTTATGTATGTTATATTGGTGCGTAAAATGTCTGATAATTATCTGACCGTAATAGAAGCACTACTCGATGATAAAACTGCTCCAAACAACAATAATCAAGGGTCCAAAGCACACAGAGAATTTTTCTTGAGTGTAATGCATCATTACTGTGCAGCAATTTGAAGCCAAAGCTTACGAAAGTTGATAGGAGAATAACCACAAGGGACCCCTAAATTTGTCATCACGCTTCGCCTCGCTTCCATGCCCTGCCATGCCCTGTGGTTCAGTTTATTCTGCCGTGCAACTAAGCATGCCTGGTCCACGGGACTCAGTTTACGTTCTGCCGTGTAACTATGCAACAATGTGCCTCTCGATAAGCTGCGGATAAGATTGGTCGAGCGTTACCCTCTCCACTGCAGCATTCTGAGCTTCCAAGTCAGTTCTAATTTTAATCAAACCATAATAAGCCATTAAATACTGCTGCATTATCAACCATATTATTCATATACATCTGTGGTTGAACGTATATGGTTCTTACAGCTGATGTGCAGTGAAATTTCTTAGTAGATTTTTGAACAGCTTTCCCTGAATATTAATAAAAGAGTACATTATAAAATGGCGGGTGTGCTTGTTAAAGAGGATAAGTCACATTTTTGTCCAAAATGAGTATTCTAGGATATTGCGTTATTATAGATCTATCATTGGGTGCAGAGGGATAAGGTAACTTATCTCTCTAACACAGTGATGGCATCATAGTAAAGCTATGTTCTGTCATACTTATTTTAGACAAAAACTTTACTTGTCTCATTTTACCTGTGCACCCACCAAATACGTACATTGAATTATTGTGAGATAAAAAAATACTTCTAACGTTTATAAAAATTTTGCAAGATTTTTTGGATCCTGTTCATTAATTTTTTCCTTGAAGTAGAATAGCTTAAGTTGTAATGGTATAAAATAGTTTTTTAGTACTTCTTAGCTCTTTAAGTAATTCAAAAGATTCAACTCCAAATTTTGTGTTATTTTTCAGCCGAAGTTTCTTACAAAAGAGGAGCGTGTTGCTGAAGCTATAAAGAAGAGGCAACTAGAAGTTGATGAGATACGCCGTAAAATGGATGAAGAGAGAAAGAAACGAACTGAATTTGGAAAAGAGGCAATGAAGTCTTATGAAGAAATGAGGAAACAAGAACAAGATAGAGATAAAGAAATATATAGGTTAGTTTAGTCATTGTAAATAAAATTTATAAATAATTTATTTACTAGCTTGATGAATTGACATATAACAAACAATCGTGTTTTATGGCTCGCTGAGTTTGCAAGTGTGAGCAAAATAAGTCGTCATAATATATTGTTCAGGCAGGACATGATAAGACATCACATTACTATATTGTGCGGGATGAGATAACTTGCCTTTACATTATTATGTAGGATGTAGGCGTATCCTAGTTATCATAAAATACTGACAAGTGATGTGTGCTATCACAGGCCTAAATACATCTAATATTCTATTATTTGAAGTGACTTACATTTTGAATGCAAAGTAATTGGTGCTGAGGTAGATTTTTCCCTCCACGATGTGGTCTCAAATAAAAATTATTTAATCAGAAAATTTTTAATTTTTCTTTGCTTTAGGAGACGAGAAATTCTCACCAAAAACGATGAGGACACACAGTACAACAAAGACAAGGAAAAAGAAGTTGAGGCCATTCGTGAACGATATCTTGGTTTGGTGAAGAAGAAACGACGTGTGAGGCGATTGAATGATCGCAAGTTTGTCTTTGATTGGGATGCCTCCGAAGATACATCCGTTGACTACAATCCGTTGTATAAAGAGAGACACCAAGTAAGTTTACACGTGTATCAATTTGGAAATTGACTTTTTACACGTGTCATAAAAACTTCTAAATCTTCATGTTAATTGAATTTTAAATTTACCTTAATAATATACTGCAAGTGAAAGGCTCAGACCTGTTCTGGTTAACAGTTGCTTACCAATGTCTTTCTGATAGCCCGAGAATACCAAAGAGGGGGGACAGCAGCAAACCCTATAATGAATAGCAATATAATTGAAGGAAAATTATATAAATTTAAGAACTAATGATCCATGGATGGGCAGTAAGAGAACACGGAGTATCCATGAAGTGATTATGCGTGATAATAGTTTCAAATTGTTTTGTAAACATTCTAGAAGCAGTGAAAGATGAAACTAACATTTTGGGTTTGAAAATGTTCTAATTATAAATGTCATAGAAGATGAAATAGTTACTCCGTACTTAAACAATGATGGAGGAAAATAATTGTGTTCTATGTTACTCTTCCCATTAGTATATGCCTTTGTTAAGCAGTGGACCTGTAAAGGATATTATTTATCTTCTAGTTGTTTATTAGAGTGTTTTTGAGGAATATTCTTTTAATATGCTCCTGTCATTGCTTTTAACTCCTTTTAACTTTCTCTGTGATATTTTGTTATAAGTATTTGTTTCTCTGCTTCGGTCTAATATAGCCAAAATGTCTAAGGAGGTTTGTTCGAGCCTCATCAAGACATTGGTTTTCCCTCTCAAGTTTTGGAGCCATATTTAACATTGGCTTGGTTGTCATCTGGTGGTGTCTTAGTTCGGTTTCTTGTGTAATATTGCTCCGAAAATTTCTTTTGATTACTCTGTTTCTTTTCTTGTATGTCAAAATTTAGTGTTGCAGGTCTTGAGAATGTTGTTCAATGGTGTGTAAATACTGGAATGTTAATTCATTTATTTAATTTGATTATAGGCGATCACCTAATTACAAATAATTATAATTTTTAAACAAATTGTTCGATGAAAGTGCAAGTTTGATCCAAGAATGTTGATACTATTATACTGTTTGATTTTTTTCCCCTTGGTATGAACATTTTCATAGATTAGAGCAAACAGTGAATATCAATTTCTAATTGCCATTAATAATTTGACTTCTGTTTTTCAAGTAAAAAAGTCGGAATATGCCCATATTTTGCTGTCGTATCCCATTGTTACCATTCAACATTAAAATTACTTTAATTTACCACTAAGATTCCACAAAAGCAATTCCCTGTTTTCAAACAGTAACCTCAAAAGTTTTTTGAAAGTCATTGCAATAATTTTCAGGTCCAGTTCTTTGGGAGAGGAAATGTGGCAGGCATAGATATCAAAGCACAGAAACGAGATCAGTCCAAATTTTATGGTGAATTATTGGAAAGGAGGCGAACAGAAGCTGAGAAAGCGCAAGAAAAGTAAGATTCTGCTTTTATAAAATTTTTATTAATTATTTTTCAATTTAAAATATATTAAAATTATGTTAATTTTCCTTTCATGAGACTCTTACCACTTTCAGTAAGGATGCTTGTTGTAGATGTTTTATTTTTGTAGTTCCTTTAAGTTGAATGTAATTATCAGTGCACATTAGATAAGTGCTTTCCACACTTTTGGTCAGTCAAAAAATGTTGTATGCCATTTTATTGTGTACTCATTTCAAGTTCAGAGCAGTGTATGTAGCTTATTGCGTCATGTGTTGCTAGGGTTCGACTCAAGAAACTCAAGAAGAAGGAAGAGAAACAGAAATGGGATGATCGTCATTGGTCTGAGAAATCGAAAGAAGAAATGACTGAAAGAGACTGGCGTATTTTCCGTGAAGATTACAATATTACAATCAAAGGTAGTGTAATAACTCTATTAAAATTGTTTAAGTATTTTCTAACAAAGAAAATATCTTATGTAGAATACAATATATTGCGGAAATTTTGAAACCAGTATTTTATTGGAATATATCATATAAATTATTTAGAATTAATTTACCTTGTCAACAGCACCAGATTCTTAGTTTTTGAATAGAGAAATTGTTTTTTGTAGAGTTATTGAAAATGTTTGTTTCTTCTCTTTCTTTAGTATACTTTTCTAATTACCTTATGTTTACTCTGAAACTTATTTTGTCAAGCCATGATGTTTGCTTCAATTTTTTATATGTGAATTTCTTTTCCTTAGAATACTTCAAAATATGACTTTATTTAAATGTTTACTTGATTACTTGATTTTCATAAATTGAAAATAGTTCATGAGCTTATTGGTTCCCTTTTAATTTTCCTACCTCAGGTGGTCGAATACCGGATCCAATTCGAAATTGGAAAGAATCTGGTATCCCACAAGAAATCTTGGAGATCATTGAGAAAGTGGGCTACACAGAAGCTACTCCCATCCAGCGGCAAGCTATTCCTATTGGTCTTCAGGTAAATTGTGCAAAATTAATACATTGGAATCTTATTCACATTACATACAATTACACTATTATATACAATTTTTGGTACCTTGAAAAGCATGGTAACAACTTAAGAAGAAAAGCTTGTTAATAAAAAAATACTCAATTCGTCATTTTTACATTCAGAACACTATAAAAGAAAATAGAAACTAACATAAATGTAAATGACAAATACAAGATAAACTAATTTATTTCATAATTATAATTGAATAGAAACAAAATTGCACGTAAATAATACACAAATCTGAAAATCTAGTATCATCTATCAAATGTTAAGGAATGCATGGTAACATGATAGAACAAAAATACAAGGAACAAAGACACTCTTGAAAAAGGTGAATTGTGAAAGGTATTATCAACAAAGTTTAAGTACGCTAAGTGGGATTGTTAAACTAGCATGGGTAATTTATCGTAAGTGGTACTGGGACTTACAAATGCTGTTGTGTTAAGCATGAAGGCATGGTAACAGAGATGGTGCTAAAATAATTCTGTTGTAATTAAAAATTAAAGATTTAGAAATATTAAATGTTATTTCTAACATTACAAGTCCAAATATTTATCATATTTGTACTAGGCGCTTCTTGAGGAAGGTAGTTTCATTATTTTTTCATATACCATGTGAATTTGGAGTTCAATTTTGAAACGGTACATGTGTATAGTTTAAGTAGATTTTTGTTCATCTTAATTCTTAATTTTCTGTTTAGAGTTCAATCGTTTTTACTGTTTTGCCTCTTTAAAAAGCAATCCTGATTTTAATTTTCCTTTTGGATTGTAAAAGTTGGATCGTGGTTTTTAGTAAATATATCCTGATGATGGACTTAGTGTGTTAAAGAAAGGTTTGTTAAGCAGAATAATTTAATTGTATTGTAATTGATTTTTCCAGAATAGAGATATCATAGGTGTTGCTGAAACAGGATCCGGCAAGACACTAGCCTTCCTTATTCCTCTTCTTATGTGGATTCGTTCTCTCCCGAAAATAGAACGAGTTGAAGATGCAGACCAGGTAATATTCCAGCTTTTGGCTTATTCATTTTCGTATGCACAAGTACTATTTGTTATGATTGTTCTTGATGTTGGCAAATGTTGAGGGAGGCACCTTACATTCTCTTCTATTGTACGTTTCACAGTAACATTGCAATCATATTAGAGTCAGCTGAGCAAATTGATGTATTATCATACAAGAAGAAAATGCTTAATTGTTTGTGATTAATATAATTTTGATTTCTTTAAATGCTTTTCATTTTGAAATGTGAAACAATTTATTTACGTTGTATAGTATACAGAGTGAGAGAGATCAAGGGTATCGCTAGACTCTTCTGAGCTTAATTCTAGTCCTTGGAGATATGTGGTACTGGAAGGTTTTGTCTGCCTTGATAATCCATTTTGCAATAAAGGGACACTTCAGTGGCTTTCATTATTATCACTAAAACAGATTGTTGTCCACTTACAATATTTAACATCAGTCAGTACTGCAAAAGAAAAATCAAAAACTTTACTGGAGAAAGTATTTTTAATTTTAAATAGTTTCCATTCTTCTTGACCCGTTCATTAAATGTCAGTGTCAAAAAATCAAAGAAAAAATGCTCATATATTTCTTCTTTCATTATTGAAGCTCCAATACCTATTAAACATCTCCTCTTGGTAGGAAATTTTAATTTTCTATTTGAAATCCTTCCAACTAATTGAAATGCTGCTTGTGAGTTTTTCTGAAAATTTGCATTTCTTTGGATGGTGTTTTCTGTAAACTAATGTTTCTGTTATAAAATGACTTTTCCGTAATGTAAATTTTCTGTTTTTGAATTACTTTGTTCTCAGGGACCATATTCAATCATTCTTGCACCAACTCGTGAATTGGCCCAGCAAATCGAAGAGGAAACAAACAAGTTTGGCCAACCTTTGGGTATTCGAACAGTTGTGGTGGTTGGTGGTTTGTCACGAGAAGAACAAGGTTTCCGGTTGCGAATGGGATGTGAGGTAAGTGGTGGATGTTTTCCTTTTTAAAAATTTCCCAAAACCAACTGCAAATGTCGCACACATCACCCTTGAAAAGAGATAGCTAGGAGCTGCTGCTGTAGCTCTCCTGTAATTTGCTTGTTAAAAAAAAGAAAAACTGAGAAAAAAGAGTAAAACTGTATTTATCCAATAAAAAACGGACATTTTCTGGAAATTCCATGTTACACAAATATTTCTGCTCCATTTGAATTTGTCGGTAATGCACTTTGTAAACTCAGAGCCATTTTAAGAATTCGTAATATACATAATTAATTGAATACTCATCCAAATGAATTTTCCCCAGATTATATAAAACAAAATAGTTGAATGTGTAAAAACGAAGTTAAGAATGATCTCGGAATAATAAATAACAGTAAACTTCGGAAATTTTACCAAGTAATATCCAACATTGTGCATGTAGGGTTGCATAAAAATCAGGGCTTTTGGCATATGTATGAATGCATATAAATCCTTTATTTGTAGTTTCTCACTATATGTTCGTTGACTAAAAGTTATTGTGTCTCCACTACATGCTCTAAAAGATTACAACATTTATTGAAGTTGATGATAGTTTGAGTCAATCTCATTATAAGATCGCTGATATGCATTGGTTTACAAAAAGAAACAAATCTTCTGAATGATTGAAGAGGCAACTTGAAAATTTATTTGACTTAGTGTCATGCCATTACAAAGTTTAAATTCTATTTTACAGTTGGTATTCAGATTGCAAAGTATAATTTTATATGTAAACTAACAATTTCTTTTTGGAATAATTTGCTTCATTTTGTGTTTTTTAGATTGTTATTGCCACACCAGGTCGTCTAATTGATGTGCTGGAGAATAGGTATTTGGTATTGAATCAGTGTACCTACATTGTACTTGATGAAGCAGACAGGATGATTGACATGGGTTTTGAAGCAGGTTTGTTGTGTATTTTGACTGCAAGTGGAAGGAAGGGAGGAAAACAAAAAAAATAACCTGTGTGTGCTCTCTTCCCCTCCTCCTCCCACCTCTCTCTAACTTGACAATTGAGGGTGTCTCAATAGGGTTCCTTCATATCCCTGCAATATTTGTTTCCAAATATCTAGTGAATTGATTTTACAAGATTGGAGAGTAATCCTGGTAAAAATTCAACAATCAATACAGTATATAGCTTTCAAATTATTATGTATTGTTGCATGGCTCTAAAGTTCTTATTGGATGCTGCAGTACAAACTGCAATTTACAGTGAGACATCCTGACGTTATCAAGGAGATGCATAGTATCAATCGACATTAAAAGTTGTGGAAGGCATGTGATGAGTGTGAGGCTCTTCCTTCATTAGTCATGACTTATTTGCAGAGGTTTTTTTCTTAATTGCCGGTATACAGATATTTTTAAACGTATTGCTTTTGTTTCTCTTTAGAATAGGAAGATTAATCTCAGAATAAATGTCTCCATCTTCTAGGGCATGTAGAAGGGACAAAAACTATTACTTTTTTAAGGTGGCCACTTTCTGGAAAACCAAGAAAAATCAGGGAATTTCATTGCTTTAGAAAAGTCAGGGGGAAATCGGGGAATTCACAGAAGAGTTTAATTTCCTTGACCAACTCAAGGAAGGAGTTGGTATATAACTAGGTATTATTCTTTAAAAAAATGTATCCAACAAAAAATAGTTACACAATGGGTATTAGTTGAAATGTTTTTAGTGACCTGACAAATTAGTATCTGGGTTCCTCAAATATTTCTTTAAAAAAATTGTGTGAAAATCTTACTAATGTCTTACTAATCTCATAATAAATCTTACTAATGAAGAAGAAAAAAAAGCTCTGTTAAACAAATGTATTAACAAATTGAGCACATTGACATAACTTGTTATGCAGCCAACGGTAGCAAAGCAGTGGCAGTCCCTTCTTACAGTAATCTCCCTCTATCAGAGTGGCCACTTTCTGGAAAACATAGAAAAGCAGGAAACATGGGGGAATTTCATTGGTTTGGAAAAATCAGGGAATTTTTATAATAGAAGAATCCTTAGAAGTCATGGACATTTTTGAGAGGATTATAAAAGTAGATATTATTTCTTAAAAACATATTTAATGTTATTTGGTGGGGGGGGGGGGAAATGTTAATTTGTACTTTGTCATGGTGAAATTAAACAGCTGTCAATATAGTACCAAAGTAACTTTAATGTTTTCTTCATGTTGTGCAAAGCTACATATCTTACCAGGAAAAAAAAAATTTAAAATTGCTCTGGAAAACTGGGAAAAGTTTGAGAAGCTTTTTCCAGAAAATGAGTGGTCACTATGTATAAGAAATTTCTCTTAACATGTCATTGGAAAACAATGATTATTTTCAATCTCTCTATGTGCTTTAGAAGTTCGCAAGATTTATTCTGATACATTCTATATGCATGAATTCTCATAGGATCACCTTACATATTTTGATGCTATGTTTTTAATTCTTTTAGATGTGCAGAAGATTTTGGATTACATGCCTGTGACAAATTTGAAGCCAGACACGGAAGATGCTGAGGATGAAACTAAACTCTTGGCAAATTATAACACCAAAAAGAAGTTTAGACAGGTAGGCATACCTCTATTTTTTTGCTACAAAGTATTCAGTGCACGAAATGTGGAAAATATTAAAACTGAGACCAAATCCATTTCATTCAGTTTCAGTTCCATCAATTTATTTATTAAATAACACCTGCTTCTTCTTCTTTTCAGACTGTCATGTTTACAGCTACTATGCCTCCAGCAGTGGAGCGATTAGCACGCACATATCTACGTCGGCCTGCGGTGGTGTACATTGGCTCCGCTGGAAAACCCACAGAGCGGGTGGAACAGATTGTGTACATATTGCAGGAGAACGACAAGCGTCGCAAACTTCTCGAAATTTTGGGCAGAGGTGTTACACCGCCTGTCATCATTTTCGTCAACCAGAAGAAGGGAGCAGATGTTCTTGCCAGAGGATTGGAAAAACTGGGCGTAAGTGCTGTTGGGATCTTCTAATCATCTTTTGCTGATGAGTAAGGCAATAACAAAGGTGATGGAGAGTTGTGGGAGTCAGTCACCTACTGCTGTTTCTTACCACATCGAAACTCGCTCTATGTGTCACCCAGTGGGGGCAGAGCCAAGGAGGGGGGGGGAGATCCTGTGGCCCTGGGCCTTCTCAGGCTTGGTCTCTTGTTAATTCTGTTCCCAGATTTCTCTGCCAGATCCATATGCATTGGAGTCTTCCTTTCATTCAGCAGCATCGTTGCATTGCTAGTATGTTTCCGTCATTGCACACCGCTTGGCGTCAGGCAGCTATGCCTTCTTGCAATGGTTGTTACCCACAAAATGCTGAGTCTTATCTGCATATGATATTTGAGTGGATAAACACTAGGTTTCAATATCCAAATGCAGAGCATTAAAGTGTTATTGACTATTATGCTCTTTTGACTTTCTCATGTATTACATAAGTAGTATAGAGGAAGTATTGTAATACTGCAGTCAAAAAATGAAGATTTGTCAAAAGAAAAACTCATTTTGTGGGTCTCTGACACTAAAACAGTGGATCAATCTTATTTTAATATGTAGTAAATAACTACCTCTAACACATTCTGTTGATAGAAGAGAATTTTGCATGACAATTTAAAAAATAAGATTTTCTTAAAAGCTGTTCCAAATTTTTGCTTCTCTAATAGTGAGAAGTACTCATATAAAAATGGCATGGGTTTTATTTTTGTTGAACTATTTGAATTTTCAAAAATTACGGGAGTGGCCAATTAGACAACAAAGTGTGTGCTGTTGTAACACCTAGTTTCTATGTTAATTTTATTAACTATGTGCTTTCTTTGTTTGTTACTGCAGTACAGCGCCTGCACCCTTCACGGAGGCAAAGGGCAAGAGCAGCGTGAATATGCTTTGGCAAGTCTCAAATCCGGTACCAAGGACATTCTGGTTGCAACCAACGTGGCTGGTCGTGGTATTGACATCAAGGATGTCTCTATGGTTATTAACTACGACATGGCAAAGAGCATTGAAGGTGAGTCTGCTATTTTGTTTTAACAGATATGAAAAAGATACATTGTAGAATGTTACATAGCCCTTATGTTAGTGATCAGGCAAATTCTCAGATTTTGGTGAAATTGAGTAAAGAATTCAAAATACATAGTTATTTTCATCAATGTTTTGGAATTTATACTACAGTGTTCAGGGCTGTGAGATATGAAACATTACAATTATAAATACAAAACAAATCTACAGAATTATTTGTGTAGATTTTTTGTTGATGATTGACTAAAATTGTGACATAATTTTTTCTTCTTTTTTTCAGAGTATACTCATCGTATTGGGCGAACAGGTCGTGCCGGTAAACACGGAATGGCTGTGTCCTTCTGTACTAAAGATGATTCTGAACTTTTCTACGATCTCAAGCAGTGTATTCTCTCAAGCCCAGTATCTACTTGTCCCCCTGAGTTGCTTAATCATCCTGATGCTCAACATAAACCAGGGACAGTTGTCACTAAGAAGAGACGTGAAGAAAAAATTTTTGCATAATGGTAATTGATGTTGCAAATTTATTTTTAGAAATGTGGATTGATTTGTTGTGTTATGTGCTTGATTTTTTGCAAGGATACGTTGTATTATGAAAGGCTTTTATTTTTCCATGCCACTTTTCATAGTGCGTCATTTGCATTCTGTAGTTCCCCCACAGTTTTCCAACTGGTTTATTCTTATGCACTACCTCTTGCATGACTTGCTCTGATATTTTGCCCTCCTCCATATACTCACAGTAAAATACATTGTCATGGGAACCTCAGTAGTTTGTTATCAAGAAATTTCATTACAATGAAATGAATCAATTTTTAATTTCAGTACAATATATCCATTGGTGGTCCTACATTATATCAACATGAATTTTACAAATAATGAAGCTTATTTTTTTATATACAAATAATTATATACATTAACGGTAGGTTTTTTCCAACATTTCAACAAAATTTTAATTCCAATTTTTCAAATTGTTCATTATTCTTGTATAGATTATTCTGTATTCCATTATTTATAAGATCTCTGATTTCAATTGATATGATTCAAAATTGAACAATACAATCAATATGCAGAATAATAATGCTTGCAGTTGTTCCAAAACTTTGCCAACCCAAACAATAGCATTACTTCTTGCATTGAAAGTCTCGCAAAGATTGTGTATGAGACTCATACAGTTCAAACACTATTATTCCATGGACTATGGCTTCTACGGTAGAATCAAGAATAACAATATTTTTTAAATATAAAGTTAATTTTTAGGTGCAATATGAATTAAGTTAGGTGAAAGTTTGAATTTCTTTGAATAGTGTTTCTTTATACATTTTTTAACATGTCCAGAAGATTATTCATAGATTTGTTAAATTATTGAAGTTTGTTACTAATATACATTATTTCTTTATTAAATCATAATTTTTTTAACTGCCTAAAAATTTTTAATTTGGTGTTGTTTTGTAATTTTATTTATTTTGTTTTCTGAAGCTCTTTATTATACATAAGGGTGCACTTGAACAATAATACTTAATAATTCCTCTCTGTGAAAACACAGAGTTTGATGATATTCAATAGTTATTTTTATAATTAGTACTTGTTTTTAAGAGTTTCATTTTAAAATGAGTTTCTCTGTAATTATGTTTCTGCTTAATAGAAATTATGTAGACAACTGAATTTCTTTAAAACTTGTTTTCTTGTTATTTTTATTTATTTTTTTGTAAATACCATAACCACTTTTTTCTCCACACACTACTTCTTCATAAATTAATAATAAATATGAATCTTGTGTTGCAGGATAATTGTAGCGGAATTGAAAAAAATTGTAAATATTACTTGATAGACAAGTTAATTTACCCCCAAAAATGTAATTTTATTATTTTAATTTTATGTATTCTTCTAAAAGAATATATTATGTACTCCAAGGCCCTATCAGAAAATAATAAATATTTGTATAATAGATCAATTCTTATATGATCAAAACTGAAGTATCATCTCTAATAAAAACACTTCTTTCTATAATGTTTTATTTACTTATTTTGAAATCCAGTGGGTTACCCCAATTACAGAATTATTAATGAAATTATTGGAGGAGTGAGGGAGGGGAGTCACATATATGTGTGCATGTGTGAGCTTATGGATTCAGCAACTCGGTAAGTAGCACCCTTATTTTATATCTTTGATTTCGGTTAAATAAAATTCACAACATACACCAGAGACTATGTAACTTTTGAAATCTTCCAGAACTTAACTGACAGTGTTGTAACATTTGGACCTGCAAGGTAGCGAGACAAGGCACTTTTAGGCTGAAGGTTTTGCCATTGTAAGAAATAGTAACTACTTGATACTTTCTCTGATACATTGTCATCATTGATATAATAAAAGATTAAAAACATCTTCCAGAAACACAATTTTTTTTCTGCATTGGTATCTTCGGTAACCCTGTTTCTACATCAATGAAGCAATCCATTTAGGTTTTATACTCGCAACTTAATCTCATAAAATTAAATCATAAAGGCATATTTTACCTCTTTTGGTTATTAATCCAAGACTAATGAATTTGATTTTTTTTTTAAGAATATTTTTATTATTTATGGTACTTATTATGTGAGATTGTAAGTTTCCATGTGAAGTGGAGTATTTCTGGATAAAAGCAAATAGTTGCACATGTGACTAGTATAATTACAATAAAAATTATTTTGTTGAGGAAAACAATTATGTTCTCATTTAAAGTAGTTGGCAAACGGTCAATGATTAAGTAAAGAGACACCTAATGCAGGAAACCTTTCTCTTAATCACCAGAGAAACAACGTCTTAAAAATAAATTTATTTAAGACAAAATTCCTGAAAATATTATAATTTCTTGATTTTATCCATAAGCATTAAGTAGGAAAATATTTTTGCAATAAATTTCTAGAATTAAAACCGTAAAGAGTGAGATTGTGCAACGAGGAACAGAAGCAGAGTTACTGAAATGGAACTAACTACGATGATATCGAGATCTGGCCATGAGGCTTTGCCAGTAGGCAGTTTATAGTTTCTTTCAATCAGGTGGGTAATGGGCCAGCGAAATATTGCTCACATTAATTATCAGAAAGTTACTTCTTTTAGAAGTGTCAGGAGTGCCACTTTCTGGGAAAAATCAGGAAATTTCATTGCTCTGCAAAACTGGGAATTTATGCAATAATCAGGAGAAGTCAGGGAAAATGTTGAGTTTGTGATCAAAAGTTCATGTTATTCCTAAAAAATTGAATAACATTATTTTGGGTTCAATTTCTATTTGTTGCATTTGTTTTAATTTATCATAGCAAAATCAGAGAGCTAACAAATTAGTTTTAGATGGATTTAATTTTTTTTAATAGTGTGAAATACTCTATATATTTCATCAGTGAAAAATGTGAAAAACGCTCTGGAAAGTCAGGGAAATTTGTTTCAGGAGATGGGTGACCACCCTGATATATGGAATGCTAGAGTGAAAAGTGACTGTTCTCTCTCTGAATTTTCTATGAAGAATGTAAAGGAGATTTTGTAGAAGATTTAATAATAACAATAACTCGTACATAACACATTTAACTCATGTTGGGTCTTCTCTGATGTCAGAGATATCTAATTCAATATTCCTTTAAAATATTGTTTTCACACCTGTTTTTTTTCCCCATTCCAGACAGCTAATGGGTAGACTGTGAACCTCGAAAGTCTGCAGAACCTATTACATGTTTCCTTCTTCATACTTTTTTTTACCTATCTCAAAGATAGGGATATTCCCTGAAGATACTTGCTTCCTTGTTGGAGAATTACTCAGACGGTGGCAGTATCACCTCAAGGTGCCCAGGAATGATTTTGAAAGGATATTTAGGATACCTTAGATCACCCACATAACTGTACACACATGTACTATTATGGAATTGATATGTAAAAGATTATCTGCAATGATGTTTCCACCAAATTCACTGCTCACTACTGGTGATGGTCTGAACTCTAAAATAATGAAAGTTTGTGTTGGATAGATGATTTAAAAACCAATTAAGCCTCATTTGATGAAATTAACAGAATTTACTAAAGAAGATAAGAACTAGGTAATAAAAAATGTTGAAAACAGGGAAAGCTGCAGGAATTGAGAAAATACATAGTTTCTGTGGGAAGAACTGGAATGTACTATGAGTTTTTAGTGAAGATATGTACAGAAATGATAACGAAGCACAAAGAAATACGAAACTTCATGACCTTGGGAGTGATCTATTTGATTCCTAAAATAAGAGTTCCATCTTCCCTCTTTAATTATAAGCCAATCACAAGCTTTGCTATCAGAATATAACATTTTTACAGATTTATAGCTGAAAAGATTGTTGAGCAAGTTCAAGAAATAAGATTCTTGACAAGGCTAAAAATGTAGAAAAAAGGGCCAAAAAAGCAAGCAATGTTTGATGGAACAGAAACCCTTCAAGCAAAAAGGAAAAACAAAAATCTGGCATTCATTGACTACTTAGAATTGGCACCAATTCATACCTTTAATTTTTAGAAATATAATGGTGTATTATCACGCATGATACCAGAAAACAGTATAAATAAATTATGCAACTAGTCCTATAATGTTATACTTTATTGCATAAGTACGTGTTTTGAAATGAGCGGCATTATAAACGAGTTGCATACGCAATTTTTTATATAACAGCATTAAATAAACTTATTTAATGTAAAAAGTACCAAAATTAATATTGGAAACAAATTTTAACAGCACTTCTTCATTGGCAAAATAGAAGATGTGATGATATATAGGGAGGATATCCAGAGAGGATGGCCTTTGCGATAAAATACAATTTTTGATTGTCTTATATTTCTCAACATTTGCTGAAATAATTCCTTTTTTCCTTGTTCTAAAACATTAATTAATTTGCTTTCCAAAATAAAAAAAAGTTAATTAAGAAGATTAGATATAAATGTTACAATAAATTAAAATTTTTTTATCGATTTTTTTATTGAATTACGAAAAAAATATTCAAAACTGACATGCAGAATATTCTAGAATTCATTTAAATTGGCGTAGTATACTCTCGCCCATACGTCACCCATGGCGGCAAGTGCCGTGCAGTGCAATATCAATTTTCATACAGTGCACAAATAAAGTGAATACAAATTGTTTTTACAGTGCTATAATTTATTTTCATTTCTTGCATTTACAAGAGAGAGGGTGTTGTTGCGAGCGTTACGTAGTTATATTTAGGGAAAATTAAAGCACGCGGCGGGGTGAGCGAGGGAGTACTCAACTGGTACTCAAAATACTCCAAATTTGCGTTACGTAGTTTATGAACAGTCCCTAAAATATAGTCGCAAGTTTAACATAGTTTATGAGGAAGAAAAATAAAAACAATATTTTTAAATACCTGAAAGACTGGCCTCTAACAGACTCATAGAACGTGAATTGTGACTACGCTACAGATTCAAGAAAGTAGGTAATTTACTACAAAACGTATAGGCCTTCGGGCAAGAAAAAATTCACTTTTACCGTATCAGAGACAAAGAAAATATTTTTTCTGTCGATAAACGGCACTTTTCGCTGTAGAATTGCGACACTTTCTCTACATGCCGTAGTATATGATAAAGTAAAAGACAGTGTTGACAGATTATTCTTTCACTACGAATTCGCGCCATTGTATTCGAACAACAGTGGATTCTACTGCGCGTGCGTGGTTGAGTCCATCGATGTTCTTCGCAAGTGCGATGAAACGGCCACAAATGTCAAAATGACGCGACGTACTTCTTGTCGTGGACTCTCCCTGCATCACATTCGGGCAAATATTGATCGACAACACCTGTTGGTCGTTCCTTCGCCTGTTGTCATTTCGTTTCCTGATTTGTGTAGCTTTCTTTTATGCTTTTCCTCTTTTAAATCTCTTCGATGATGAATGTGAAGTATTGATTTTTTTTCGAAAATTAAAAGAAATTATTTCTTTGTCCGATTTTGCTGACTGTGGGGAGAATGGATCGAGTAACACTGGTGGTAGGATCTTGTGGAAATGTTGAAGGACAGGTGAGTCAATTTAGTCTTATAAATAATAGTGGCAAATTTGTTCAATTCAGTTTTGTTTCACGGTATTACCTTTTGATGATAGTGACTTATATACCAAATTAAGAAAAACAGAGAAGTTGATATGATTCTATTATTTTGTTTCAGTTTATTGTTGTTTTGAAGACAAAGTATCAATAAAAGTCAGTGTCATTTTTGTAGGAATTGTGAAAGTCCTGTTACTAATGGTGTAACTTGTATAATTGTCCTACTATTCATTCACATTACTCTTTCCATTTGTTAATCCAATTTAATACTTTTAAGTTTGCATAAACTTTGTTTAGTTTGTATCTCTCAGTTTTTTGAATGTTTTTCTATTTTAGTATTCTCAATATTTACATAAGAAAAATGAAAATAAAAACATATCGAAGCAAGCTATGCCAGCAGCTAATGACAATTTAATCATGAATTTAATTTTGCTCTGAGTTCATGATTTCTCTCACTGTTTCAATTTCAAATGCTTTCATATGTCATCCTCAATAGGTAATATACAAGAGAATATTTTACTCAATACTCAGGAATGTAACACATCAGTAATATTACTGGGAAGCTTCAAATAAAAAAAATTGAATTAATCCAATTTTTTTGTAACTTTATCTAAAGAAGATTTTTATTATTATTATTTTTCTACAACTTCCAGAAAAATGTATTATTATTATTATTATTATTATTATTATTATTATTATTATTATTATTATTATTATTATTGTTGTTATTATTATTAATACCATCATCAAAAAATAGTTTCTAACTGCTGAATAATACTATTGTGCTCTTTAAAATTTGTTGATAAAATATTTCAGTTAAAACATTGAAGAAAGAAGTAAGAATTAGAAAACGTAGTCCTTGAATTTATTGTAGAAAGTCAGTTTTATTGGATTGATGCATTTATTGACACATTGAGAAATTCACATATCAATTCTGTTTCAAATTAAAATTGTAATTGTTTCGAGATATGTTTCATCTGTTTATCAATACTGAAAATCATAAACAAACAGAATATAAATGTTTTGTTAAATAATACATAATAATAATAACAATAATGATAATATTTTAATATATAATAATATATTTTGAAAAACAAAGACTAAGAACAATAATACCATAACAACGAATCAACTACAAAACATACACTTACCTCAAATGAAATTGTAAAATAATAAATCATTGATTCATAAAATATTTTACAAAAGTATTCCTTTTACCAAAAAAAAAAAACCTTTTTACTTTAAAACAAAATTGATTGTGCAGAGTCTCAATGTGTCAAACATATCAGACCAATAATGTTGACTGTCTGTAATAAAATCGTGAACCACATTTCCAAAGTTAAGTAGTAATGACAGTTTGGGAATTTACCTCAAGAATTAAAAATGCAGGTGTTCAGCACTGTGATGGGGTGAGCACCTTTTCTCTTTTTCTTTTCTTCTTTTTTTTTCCTTTTCTTCTTTTCTCCCTTATATAATTAAAATTTGATAAATGTAAGTCCTCACAGACACTTGTGCCATTTCTTCCCTACAAAAGACTTTAATTATATTTTATTCTTAAACAATTCACATTTTCAAATATTGTTTCAATATTGGTTACCAATCTTCTCTAAATATTATTTTGTAAGTATTTACTCTATGAAAAGAAGCTTTTAATCTTGATTAATAAGTAAGAAAATTAAAATTGTTATGTATCAATTTCAATTTTAAATTCTTCTATGAGACCTGAGAGAACCCTACTTATATTTCCTTTCCTTTATCATGATATTAGAAGATTTTAGTTTTTTATATCTTTATTTGGCTAGGAAGTGGGATAACAGCTGTTTTAGAGATATTTAAGGATAAGAATGTGCATGTAGATTATGCTACCATAGATAATATTCTTAGGTTTATTTATTTTGTTTGCATTCTTATTAAACTCATTCCAATTTGAGCTACTGAAAATGTCTACAAGTCTCATCTGTATAAGAATCTATAGTATCAGAAAAATTTTCTAAATTAATTTGCAGAAAATCATTAATATATATTTGAAAAAAAGTCGTAATTTGGTACCTTGACGTAGATTACAACTGTTATTACGTCTGTCACTGTGTTTGCCTTCAATTTTAGTAATTTGAGTTCTATTTTTAAACAGAATGAATTTCTAAAGCAGTTCTTTTTATTCCAAATAATGAAGCATTTCTAATACTTTCATATGATTTATTGTATCGAAACCTTTTTGTATATAAATATATGTGTATAAAAATATTCCCAAACATTTGTTCCCTGAATGTAATGAAAAATTATTGTAGTAACTTCCATGATAGTATCACAGATTGATTTTTATGTAATAATTCATTTTTTTCCCAGGAAGTTTATTAACCTATTTTTCAAACATCCTTCGAACAATTTGGATAAGCTTGGCAGAAGGGATATTGGTCTATTATTATTTATATTTCCTTTATCACAAGATTTATTTATTTTGATGACAATGGCATGTTTATTCTTCTGGAAATATTCCTTGTGATAAACCTAAGTTAAATTTATGAGTCAAAGGTTTTACAATCGATTTGATAAGTATTTTTAGAATATTATTTGTGTTTTGTAAAAATGTTTAAAAAACATACAGCCCCTGGTATTTACAAAACACAAATAATATTCTAAAAATACTTATCAAATCAATTGTAAAACCTTTGACTCATATATATAGACATTATAAAAAGAGATAATTATTATTTTACTTATATTGAACTCATATAGTTTTGCCTCAATTATAAACTAGAAAACATTTAATACTGATAATTTTATAAAAAAGACTCTCTCAAGAGAGTTAGAGAAAGTTATCAGTATTAAATGTTTTCTAGTTTATAATTGAGGCAAAACTATATGAGTTCAATATAAGTAAAATAATAATTATCTCTTTTTATAATGTCTTAGTTATTTCACTATTGTATGAAAGTATTTTCATTCAATTATTTCACCATTGTACTCATTATTTCTAAAATGATTTGAGATTTTTTATTATTATCATCAACATGAGTGGCTTCTTTACTTATTTCCCAGAATGTTTTTAGAATCATTTTTATAATGAATTAATTTCTCTTTAAAATATTTAGCTTTTCTTATTACATTTGTCAGCAAATTTTAGTAGTTAAGTCTATGTGAAGTATGTGTTAAAAATTGCAACAATCTGTTAACCCCAGGAAGAAAAAATTATTTCCATGAATGGGTGTCTGCAGCGTAGATTGCTGCTCTGAAATTCTGTTCTTCTAACAAAATGTCCTTTTACATCTGAGCACTTATAAGATGCAACAATGGATTATGTCAATTGCTAGCCAAATCCACCGCAGCAAATACTTTGAACTGGAGCACACCAACTGCAATTCAGTTTTTCAAGTTATGCAAAACTGATAATGCAGCCAGCACTTGGTGCTGCTGCGCACCTTCGGAAGGATTAACAATTCATAAAATCAATTACTGTGCATCTATGAAAAATGTAATGCAAAGATAATGCATTGTTTCTTTCTCATTTAGTCATGATTACATTGGTAGAGAGTTCATGTGATTGAAATAATTCAATCTATGTAATTATCTCAAGTTTCTTTCAGCAGTAAAAAAGGAAGTAAATTTCATATGGTGTTTTCATTTACAGAAAGTACAACAACAACAACCTAATTTTCTTATTCTACCAACAACATCTTTCATTCTCATCCAAGGACTAAATGTGAGTTCCTTTCATCAATCTGAATATGTTTACATGGTTAATCTACTCCATAATACTGCTTGTACATAACTTTACATAATTACTAATTTTAATGCCAGTTCTTGTTCACAGAAGCCACCAGAACCACCAACAAGCATTCTTATTGTACCAGTTGAAGATAAAAATGTATGTAGTTTTTCAAAAGTTGAATTTAAACAAACTATTCCTTTTAATGTACTTATTTTTATCAGGATAACCATTTTGTGTTTTTAAACACAAATGATGATTACATTGAAGGGAAAATAGTTATCTATAGGTCAGTCAGGGATTACAGCATGTGATGAGAGGAATGGTGAAATTTTGAGGATTAATTTATTTAATCTTTGAACATTATTTGACTGTTGTGAAATATTTATAGTATCATCATGATTCTTGGACCACTGCAATTCTAACATATGCATTTTATCAGAAGAACATTTGAATTACAAACTTTACAATTTGAACATTCATGAAAGTTGACTATCTTGCTTGTCAGCCCTTTCAAAGAGTACTCAAATTGAATTTTCAAGTAATAAGCTTCAATAAAGTCCATTTCCTTAAAAAAAAATATTGCTTGTTTTACATTTGTACATGTTTAACATTTGTAAAAGGGTCTAACTCAATCTAGGTTGAATAGTAAGCATTTCTTACAGCATGTGATGAGAGGAACAGTGAAATTTTGAGGATTAATTTATTTAATCTTTGAACATTATTTGACTTGTGAAATATTTATGGTATCATCATGGTTCTTGGACCACTTCAATCCTAACATATGCATTTTATCAGAAGAACATTTGAATTACAAATTTTACAATTTGAACATTCATGAAAGTTGAGTGCTAGCCTTCAGAATTATTTAGAGATCGAATAAAATCAATGGAGCTTGACTCCTTTGATCGAAAGATTGGTGCCTCGATAACAATTGTAGGCACCTCTTTCTGTCAGTTACCTCATTATGCCCAAAATCCAAAGCTTTTGTTTGCCATCTTCAGGTAATGACATTATACTTGTAAGTAAGTTGTCAAAACCTTTTTTTAAGAAATGGATAAGAATTAATAGTTTGTGAATGCTACCTTTCCATTCTTATTTATGTAGATTATTGTAAACCTGTCATTTAGCATAATCAAAATAAGGGATTGTAAATTATCTTGGCTGTAAGTGGTAAAGAAATAATTTTTATTATTGTTGCTGTTTTGTTGTTGTTGTGGAAGTCATTAGACTGCTTACTTGCAAAATTTCAAGAAAGCTTTTTCAAGAAAAATTCATAAATTTCCATTAAGTTTTCACAATGAAAAAATCACTAAACAATCCTCGTGTGTGTGTGTGTGTGTGTGTGTGTGTGTGTGTGTGTGTGTGTGTGTATATATATATATATATATATATATATATAATTTTACTTATAATGAAGATTTTTGTAAATTGTTTGTATTATGAATGTAATTTTTATCAATACTTTTTACACAGAAAAATCTATTATAATGAATAGCAATAACTGCAGGAAATTTATTTATCAACATTTAAAAAACTTATCTACAAACAGGTCAACTATAGTATAATGTTTAATGTCTAAATTACTAATGTAATATTGTAAATTTCTAATAATTTATCTCATTTTGATTCAGCACAAATTTCTCTAAACTGTATTTTTATGTCCTCTATACATTCTCTCCTTCATCTATTTTATGAGAATGTTCAGTACAAGATGATTTACTCAAAATTATATTATATAAATATCAATGTTGATAATACAGAGTTTGCAGAAAATTGAGAAAATTTAATTGCTGTTATTAAAATATCTAATACAGCTTTCATCAGTACAAAAAGTGGAACAAGTTGTAGATTGTTCAATAGTAGATGCTGTGCCAGACCTTCTGTTGTGTTCTATTTTTAATGATCATCTGCACAACATTCATTATACATATGGTTAGTTGCTATTTGTAATCTAAACTGAAAGAATTTGATTTGATGAATGTAAGACAAATAATGTTTTTTCATGTGCTTGATAATTTTTCTTAGTTTCAAGTTGTGCTCTGAAAAATCAAAGTTGTGGAACATCAAATATTTACCTAAAAAGCAAATAACTCAATGAATACTATGAAAAATGTAATATTTATGAATTATCACTGTACCTACATGGGTGTGTGCAGCCTAAAACAAGAGGAGGTTCATCTACATTTTTGGGCTCCTTTTCTTATTAAAGTGTTTTATTTCTTAATGAGGGGCTGAGAACAAAAATCAAGTAACTAACAAGTTTTATAGAAACTACTTTTGAAGTCGCATGTTTAATAAAAAATTACAGAATAAGATATATTAAGTATTGAATTTTATATGTATTAAAGTACTGATTACTTAACCAATTTAGCCCCCTTTCCCTCACCACAAATAAATAAAATAGTGAACCATCATACTTGCTCATTTTGAGCAAATTTCACTTTCTTGATTTTTGTTTTTATCCCCTCCAATGACAGTTTACTAGTAAGTAAATAAAATATACTAAAAGGAGAATAAAATTGTAAGTTTAATGGTTCAGCTAACAAATAGAATTAGTTTCATGTTGAACCATTTACACAGTTGCCGGACCAGATACTTTGGCAAGCCTCTTCCCCAAACATCATATAACAGTTCCTCAAATTATAAGTTTAATAGAGTAAAATCAGGGATTGAACAAATTTGTGGAAATAAAATGTTTTATTATGTAAGGGAAAGGAACTCTTTTCAAAATTTTCAGGAGACTTAAGGATTGCCTGTATACAGGCCTTTGTTGCTGTAGCTTCTAACTGTTATTTTGATGCCAACCTAAATTTAATGATTGATCTGAAATGCATATCCTTTTAGCAATAGAGTGAAATGAATCTTTCATGTTAATGTTGCCTAGTGATAGAAAGAAAGAAATCCCCCTCCCCTCACAAACACATGCGCATACATACACACTCAGGCCCAGATTTTTATTGAACCTATCAAGAACGCATGTGTTGTAAAATTAAATCGCTTACTACTTTTGCTGCAGGATCCTCCACTTGTAGCCAATAAATTTGAGATGGGGAATGAAGAGGGACAAAGTATTGAAAGTGAGTAGTTGTTTGTGTTTATTGACTTCAAAAAAAAAAAAAAAAAAGAAAAGTAAAACTATTTCACTTCAGCAATGTTCTATGGTGTTGTAGCTTTTACAAACTCCATCTGCTTTTGGGCCCCTGTGTTTCAAACCTTGACTTGTCCAGTCAATTGAGCTTACCAGTCATTTCTAATCTTTGTGTCTTCCTTGTTAAATGTTAGTCACTATATTCTTATCTTTAGTTTCTTCTTTACCACTTTTTGTTACTTCTGGTTGTTGTCATTTATTTTCAGTAGAAAGTCAATAATCCAGATTAATTGTAATCATACCCCTTCCAAATTATCAAATTATCCAGATTTTGGATAATTTTATGGTAAAAAGGTAGGTTAACTTCAGTGTTAAAAAACTTGCTAAAATCATTCATCAATTCACTCAGTTACAGAAGAGGAGCAGATGAACAAAACTATCAATGTAGTAAAATGTTTACATTTTTAATTACAGAAACAAAATACTGTACTATTTGTACAGTATTGCAAATACCCAATGCCTCATTTTATATATTTGAAATCTTGACTTACAACAAAATGCAGTATGTACAGTAATAATTCAGTATTTGAGCTTAGAAAAAATATTTAAAAGGTTTAGTGATTCATGTGTCAAAGGTTTAGTGATACTTGTTGATGATGGTCCAGATTTTTGAAGTCCGAATTATTGGCACTACTACTTCTGATCATTGCCTCATTTCTTTCACATGCATCCTACTGAGATGACCACACTGATATTTCTTCCTCTCTGCACCTGACATTGCATTTTGTTTCCTTTGTGACATCACTAATACAGGTTGGTTGCTCACATATTTTTGCAATTGTGATGCACAAATTTTATTAACAGTGTCGTAGAATATCAAAGAATCTTTTAATATCAAAAAAATATTAAAAATAAAATGTAAAAAATTACAAATGTTTATATTGTAAAAAAATTAAAGAGTTGTTCATTACTGGACCTTGAAGGAAGATTGAAATAACCTTTTTAAATTTTAATTTTTCAGCTAGAATTTCCACTAAAAATGTCAAATTAGTTGGGTTGACAATAACACATGAATACCAGAACATATTAAAGACTATGTTATATTTAAATTTAATGAGATTTTGGTTTGAACTTGGAGATTATTTTTATGACATTTGTGTTTTAATGTGTTAAAACAAATAATTTCATAATTTAGGAAGGCAAAAACTGTTTGAATTGCTTCTGCAAAACTACCATTATGGACATTTTAAGTCTTGAATAATGTACTGATTGGGGTGCTTAAGAATGTAATTGATTCCCAAAATTTCATCCTTCATTTAAATTTCCTAATTGGAAGCTGTTTTTCTTGACTTCAATTGAATATATAGTTATGAGTCTGTTACAAAGTTTCTTTGAAGATAGAGTTCTGCATTTGAGCCTCTGATTTGTGATAAAAGTTAAATAGCTGGATCTGAATGCTGCTGCATGGATGAGAATTATAAAGGCTGGCTGCTCTCATTTGTAATTTTTGTGGTTTCCTTCAATCAAGTCTAGGCAGATGCCAAAACAATGCAGCATGGGCCACTTCCTTCCTTCCTCATTCTGTCCCCAATCCAATCCTACCTTGGCCTCTCCCCTATGACCCGGAACATCTGACAAGTTTGGAGATCTGAGATACAGCTGGTAAGCTGTCAAACTTCTATGATTGCATGTCTTGGAGGATTAACCAAAGCCAAAGTAAGTTTTCCATCGGGGCTGACAAAATTTCATGATTAAATAAACAAATTATTTACTGACAATTACTTTAACAAGTTATTGTATATACACCTAGTTACTATTGCTTAATAAGATCTCTTGAGGTAATCACTGGCAATTATTTGATGATGGCTATGCCTTTTATGAGCAATAGTAAGTCATAGCCGTATACCTTTTATGATCAATAGCGAGTCGAATGATTATACATAGGTTTAAAAAAGAGTGAGAAACAGGAAAAGGTGAATATAAAATTAAAAGGAAGAGTCACTGTGTTCCAGGTTGTATTAATTCTCAGAAAGACACCAGAAATAAAATAGTATTTTTTCTGAACTATGCCTCAGAAACGGAAAGAAGAGAGTTTTCTTTTTATTTCTAATTTATTTACTAATTTTTATTTTCTATTAATTATGTAACTTAATGTAATAACTCATTATTTTATATATATGAACAATTCTCTGGAACCTTTAGCTTTCATATCGCATACACATTTTCAAATTTGTTTTAATCAACTACCTTATTATTAGTTTTGTATTTGTTATTTTCTTATAAAAAATGTTTCAGTGTACAGTTTAAACAACTGTTTACTCTTATAATAAGATGCTTTTGTTTATATTCCGCAGATTACATTTGACATCAAATTTCAACATTTTGTATATATCATTTGATGTATTCACATTATTTTTAATTTTAGCTTTATTGAAACCAATTAAGTAAATAACTAAACAAAAATGAAATATAAAGCTTAGATTTCTGAGATTTTGTTTTCTGCATTGACAATGGTGTGGTCTATAACATGTACAATTTTAAAAATAATCAAATTTGTCTGTGAGTTTGAGTGTCCAAATTGTAAACATTATAATACTTTTGATAAAACTAATGGGAAATCCATATTTTTTATTGTTTTCACATGTGGCTTTGAAATTATAGACAAAGTAAAGTAATTACAAACATGTTTTAATTTTTTATGAGAATCAGTTCATTTTTTTTATGAAACATTGTGTTATTTCTTTGGTTGCAATAATAATGACCAAATTGTAACCAAAATGGCATTTAATTCAATACAGTAAAATATTGTGTATAAATTGTATTGGTATTTTCAGCTTATTTTAATAATTATTGGGTATTGAAATTCACATGGGTAGTGAGGGGAACAAAATCCATAATAGATTATATCATAATAAATGAGATAATAGTTGATAAAGTAAAGAATATAAAAGTTTTCAGAGGAAGTGACTTGGACACAGACCTCTACCTATTGGAAACACAAGAAATTAAAAAGAAAAACAGGAAAGTTAAAGAAACTCTAAGACTCAAAACCTACTTATTAGAAGAAGACAGCATCAGATACCTGTACAAAAGCAACCTTAAAGAGAAGCTTCAAAGAATAGACAAACAAAATGTGGAAGGATTCTGGTCAACCCTAAAACAAGTAATTAAAGAAACAGTTGAAGAAACATTAGGATACCAAATGCCCAAAAAACAAAAATGGTTAAGGACCTGGAATAAAGAAATTCAGGATGTAACCATAAGGAAGAGGAAAGCATATCAGAAATATCTGCAATCACGCATTATAAAAGATTACATAGAATATAAGAAATGTAGAGCAGAAACAAAAAGATTAATGAGGCAAATTAAAAGAGATGACAGGCAGAAATTTGTGAAATCAATAGAGAGAGACATCACATGTTCCAAGAATGCGTTTTAAAAATCATAGAAGCTCAGAGCGGAAAGAGACAATGACTGCACAGATCTCATCCCTGAAGAGAAATGGATTTAGCACCATGAGAAGTTACGGAGTAAACCAGACATGACAGACCCGAGGATGAGCAACACAGTAATTGAATTTCTAAAAATACCATCACAGATCACTAAAGGGCTGGAAAGGGTGCTAATAAAAGCTAAAAATAGGAAAAATCCAGGAACAGATGAAATTCCCATGGAATTAATAAAATATGGTGGAGAAGAACTCAAAGACATGATACAACTCTTCAATAAAGCTTGGGAAGAAAATTCAGCCTTAAAAGAATGGCAGACAGGTGTCATAAATTTGCACAAGAAAGGAGCAAAAACAAATTGTAACAATTAGAGGGAGGTTAACGCTCTTACTCCCAGCATCAAAACTTTTTGCCAATATACTAAGAAATAGAATGAATGAATACAGTGAAACATTACTGGGAGAGGAACAGAATGGATTCAGAAGAGGAAGGAGTATAAACAATCCTGGACAGACGCAACGAAGTTGAAGTCCTGAACTGACTAACCTATTACTTATAGACTTTGAGAAAGCATAGATTGAGTAGACCACAAATTAATGTTACTAATACTAGAGAAAGAGAGCATATCTATAAAAATTAGAAAAGGAATCTAAAGCCTCTACACTAAAGATGAAGATAAAAATGAAAAAAGGGAATGTGTCAAAATCTTTCGCAACAACCAGAGGATTAAAACAGGGATGGAGACCATGCCTGTTCAACATATATGCCCCAACCATATAATTGAGAAAGGGAATAAATATCAATAAAAGACAGACGATCCAAACATTCCTGTATACAGATGATATGTTAGTCATAACAATGGAATCAGAAGATGACTTGCAAATTGCAGCAGATGAACAGTGTAAAATATCACAGAAACATAATATAGAAATTTCCACAAACAAGACAAAAGCAATTGAATATCAAGGAAAAGAAACAAGAACAGTGAAAATTGTCATAAAGGGGAAAATAAGGATCAAGTATCTAAATTCAATTATTTGGGCAACCTCATAGGACAGAGTTCGGAACACATGGAAAGGAAAATTCAGAAATACAACAGGATAAACAGATTAATCAATAGACACTTTGAAATACCACAGAGACTAAACTAAGAATCCACAATATGATATCTAAACCAATCCTCATGTATGGTTCAGAAATCTTATCAATGAAAAGTAGTGAACAACCAAGACTAGCCGCATTGCAAATAAAAGTCCTACATCATCTTGCAAGAGTAAAACTAAAGGATAGACAAAGGAGTAAAGATATCAGAGGCAAAAAGTATAGTAGAAGATATAAAGGATGAACAGAGAAAATAGCTCTCTGACATCAAGAGAATGAATCAAGAAAGATTCCCTAAAGCATTGTTGAAAACAGAACAGTAGGACAAAGGGAGGTGGGAAGACCAAAAAAATATATATGTATATAAATATATATAATATATATATAAATATAAATAAAAAATAAAAAAGCCTCCTGGACTATTGGGAAACAAGAACAACAATAGGCAGTAGGCGTAGCAACCTGCAGTTCATGATGATGGTGATTATGTTCTGAAAAGTAAAAATTTATTACACGTCAAAACTGTAACTCGCATCACAACTGTAACCAAAAAACGTTTTTTGTTGCTGAAACTATCTGACCCTGAGGCGAGTAGGTTTTCAAAGTCATGATCCATTGCAATCATTCAGTTTCTTAACTTTTTGAAAAGAAAACACTAAAACTCCTTGCAAATGTATTAAAATTGAAATTACTGAATTATAAAAGTTAAAAATGATACATAAAATATTGTAATTAATATATTATATGGACAATTTCTTATTTGTTCATAAAATGCTAACTTAAATAATTTCTAAAATTACCAAAATTTAAATAGAAAATTGTAAAATATCATGGTTCCACAATAAAGCCTCACTTTTTTGCTCCCACAGGATGAAAATTCTTTTGTGAAACAATAACTTTTTATTCCACCTCATTTTATTCACTGCTAGCTGCCTCGTGTGACACAAGACAGCTAATGCATATTAAGTTTTCCCAATATGTACTGTATTCACATTATTTTTGACACTTCCTTTCACAGTCACCCGTGCAAAATAAATATTTTCAAAATTAAAGCTGATTAAAAAGTAGTCACGAAGTCCAGTGACACCAGACTGTCAGAATGATTGAAGTATTTTATCAATTGAGCATTAAAAAAATGATGTGGTTAAAAATAATATTAGTATTATTATTAGTAATATTAGAAATATTAGTAACAAACAATACTTTAAGTTATGACAAAATAAAAGATATCTGTATTCTTATGGAATAGACATCTGAGACTGGGAAAAATCACTTTGATTTATTTCATCAATTTCAGTACAAAACTGTATGGGATGTGTAGGGGAGAAGTATAATTTGTACGCTTTTCTTGATCTTCTACCAACTCTGCCCCAATCTTTTACTATGATCAGGGGCGGATCCAGAGACAAATTTTGGGAGGGGAAATTTTTTTTATTCAAAATGTTTTGGTCAAATGTGTCCTATTGCAGATTATGTAGAATAACACAGGACAAACTCAACTCATATTGCAATACAATTTTATTAATTGTAAGGTTTATAAGAAAATATTTTTGCTTGAAAGTTTCAGAGGAAATGTCCTTCTTTTTCCTTCTCATGTATCTGCACCTGTAATGATGAATAAAAACAGCAACAAAATGTTGTTACCAACATTTGAAAACTAGAAATGTTGGCTCTCAAATAAAGAAAACTTTATTTTATTTTCAGTATTTCTAATGAAGTAGAAATTCATACCTCCCTGCTCTAGTCCTACCACAACTAGCAAAAGGAAAACACACAAATTTAAGAGAGGAGGCCCTTGGGCCAACACAATCTGGGAGCTCCCTGATTATAGATATGTAATTAATTTAATTTTGTGATTATAATTTGAATTTTAGGAGGGAAATTATTTATTATTACTTATTTTTTGTAATATTTGTACTTGTGTAAACTTTGCAATATTTTATTATTACTGAAAACAAATTATCATTTTTGCAATTTTTTTTATATAATTTAAAATTTAAATTTTGGTATTTTCTTCCAATTTACAAATTTATCAATAACAGTACAATTATTATTTTCAGCCAAATCCTTTTTTTATGCTCAATTGATGAAATACTTAAATTATTCAGACAGTCTTGTGTAATTGGGCTTCATAACTACTCTTTAATCAGCTTTAATTTTGAAAATGTGCTTTTGACACTGGAGACTGAAATGACAGTGAATACAGTACATATTGGGAAAACTTAATAAGCATTAGCTGTCTTGTGTCACACAAGGCAGCTAACAGTGAATAAAATGAGGTGGAATAAAAAGTTATTGTTTCACAAAAGAATTTTCATCCTGTTGGAGCGAAAAAGTGAGGCCTTATTGTGGAACCATGATATTTTACAATTTTCTGTTTAAATTTTGGTAATTTTAGCAATTATTTAAGTTTGCATTTAATAAACAAATAAGAATTTGTCAATATAATATATTAATTACAATATTTTATGTATCATTTTTAACTTTTATAATTCAGTAATTTCAATTTTAATACATTTACAAGAAGTTTTAGTGTTTTCTTTTTCAAAAAGTGAAGGAACTGAATGATAAAACCTTTCGAAATGGAGGAAATGATGTTTGGCAACCCTGCCTCTCAATTAGGCTATCCCTACTTATCACTATAAAGGCAAAAGGAGATTATTATTGAGATTTATCTACTGATACGCTATGTAATGAAAGTTAGAGAAAGGATTTTATTATTTATTTAACTGAATCTCACCTTGCATTCTAACTTCTGGTATATCTTGATTAAGAAATGTATTTCAGAATCACTCAGAATTTCTTTGTTGAACGACCACCCTGTAAAGTTTTTGGAAAATAGTAGGCTTTTAAAAGATTTTTTTTTACCTTATTGGCAATATTAATATATTTTATAATATTGCATTTTGTGGGAGAGACTAATCACAAATAACTTTTTTCTTTGATTGAGACATACTCTGGATGTATTATGCATGTGTATATATGTGTTGCATGCAAGAAAGAGGAGAGATACATGTCCCAACCATACACTGTTCCTTATTTCTTAATTTGTTTTCATCTGATTGTTAATAACATATTCTCTGCTACAGATGGAGGCAACGAGGAATCATTTACAGGAGGGGTGGGGGTTGCTGCTGATGCTGCAACTCAGACAAACAATCGTAGTGACTTGGGCGCAGAAGCCTTGGTGTGTCCTGTCTGTCTCCAAACCTCCTCATCACTCAGTGACCTACAAGCGCACACTCTCACCCATTCGGTTGAAAACCTCTACATTTGTGAGGAGTGTGGCGAGAGCTTCATTGAGAAAAATGATTTCACAAATCACAAGCTAGTGCACACCAAACGCCCAGAAAGATCTCCTTTACTGGAGGAAGCAAATTTGGAATTGCCTTCTCTACCAGACGTTGCAGATTTGGAATTGCCTTCTCTACCTGAGGATGCAGATTTGGAATTACCTTCTCTACCTGAGGATGCAGATTTGGACTTGCCTTCTCTACCTGAGAATGGAGATTTAGAATTGTCTTCTCTACCAGAAAATGCAGATTTGGAATTGTCTTCTCTATCAGAGAATGCAGATTTAGAATTGTCTTCTCTACCTGAGGATGCAGATTTTGAATTGTCATCCCTTCCAGAGGATGCAGATTTTGAATGGTCTTCCCTTCCAGAGGATGCAGATTTTGAATTGTCTTCCCTGCCAGACGATACTGATTTTGAATTGTCATCTCTATCCAATGAGAATGACATGAAACCACCTTCTTTTCCGGAGAGATGTTTGATCTCTACTCTGATAGAGGAGAGAGATCCAGAAAATTGTGATGACCCCAGTCCTATTAATGAGGAGTTATTCCCTTGTGATGAATGCGGTAAAATTTTTCGATCAATGGCTGAACTTCTTGTACATGATGGCATGCACACAGGTGAGAAGTCGCACAAGTGCAGTTTATGCCCCTGGAAGTTCAGGCAAAAATCCAATCTCATTGCGCACATGCGTCGGCACACTGGGGAGAAGCCTTTTAAGTGTATGGAATGTCACAAGAGATTTCGAGCCAGTAATACACTAGTCAACCATATCAGAACCCATACTGGAGAAAAGCCTTATGGATGCACAGTTTGCCCCAAACGCTACACCCTCAGGACAACCCTTGTAATGCATATGAGGACTCATACTGGTGAGAAACCATATGCATGCTGTGTGTGCCGACAAGCATTCGCTTGTACCAATAGCCTCAAGAACCATGAGATCATGCATTCTGAAGAAAGTTTTCGGTGTGAAGTGTGTGGAAAAACTTACAAAAACAAGCGTATTCTGGTGGTTCATAAGAAACGAACGCACACCACAGACACTTCGACTCAATGTTCTCTCTGTAAGAAAAAACTCAGTGACAAGTGGAGCTTGGTTAGGCATATGAGAATTCACAGCCGAGGGAAGATGTAAAAAGCAGAATTAAGCTTTAAGCATAGCGGTGGCTTGCCAGGAGAAGGGCCACTTAATCTTTGTAAATATAACTGAATAATGAAGGAAAGTACGAGTGACTACTACTGGTAAAAATCTTTGTCTGTCATCCCTCCTTTTTACTTTGTACTGTTCATTAACATTTGTAACTTGGTGGCCCAGCGTTGAGTACACCATGTCTCTGGGTTCCACAATGTGAGATGGTCTTTCAAAGTCTTTAGATTTCCAATTGATATTATGTAGACAGTTGCTCTAGCAATCGTGGATTTTTAGTTGAAGATGAGGAGTCTTGGCTGTACACTTTATGTTTAGGAGCTAGAACACCCCAGAGCTATACATATTGTGCTCCACATTGTAGCATGTCCAGAACTGCTGGGCTGATGGTTTTTATTCTTGTCACAAGATGCCTCTAGTAACATTGCTGTGGTTCCCAGCAGTATGTTCAACACACCCAGTATAATGATCTATTGTGTTAGATGTAGTGGTGCACCCAAGGGGGTGGCTGGTGAGGCTCCAACCCAGACCCCTCCTGAGGCTGAAGGTACATATTCAAAAATAACCAATTATCTTCAGACTGTCATTGTTTCTATTTGATAGCCTTTTGTCTAGAATATTTTTAAACAGGAGAGAGGACAAATTCAATTTGTTTTTGTGAGTTTGACTAAAGTTTTAAAATTAGAAGATTTAACATTGTTTTATTGTTTTAAAGCTCATTGATATTATAACAGTTTTTGTTTATCTTCATTTTAGAGTAACTTCTTAGGAAGAGGAAAAGAAGTTCGCTAAATGTAGAGATGAAAATCTTTAAAAGTTAGTAAAATGTTTTAATAAAATTGTTTAATCTAAATTATGTTTTCTAGTTAAAGAGTCTCCCCTTTCAGTGGTTTTAAAAAATGACAGCCTAAAAATATATTTCACAAAGAACCTTTTAGGTAAATTAAAAAATATAGTGTCTCCTAATTTTCATTACCAACGCACATCTTTCAATATCCCAAGTCTTAACATTATTAATATAATAACTCAAGTCAATAAATTTCTTTAAAAAAATTAAATTTAAATGAAAAATTCTTTAAATTCTTTATATTTCCTGGACCTGACGCCACTCTTCATAACCTACTTGCCTGAGAAAAATTCTGGTTGCCCTTCAGATTAGATAAAAGTTGCATTTTGTATTTTAGCCTCCAGATAAGTTTGAACCAACAGCAATCTTTAAAATAAAAGTGTTATATGCATAATAAACCCTGTAATTAAAATATGGTATGATTCTTACTTAGAAAGTCTTAACTCTTCATTTTTCACCTCATCTTAACATTCTCTGCCTCCACTGATTGAGCAACAATTGGTCTAAAATAATTCTGTGACTTGGTGCAAAAACCTCCAAAGTCATTGCTGTACACTGCATTTTTGGCTCTTAAACTTCCTGTTTTGTAATTCTAAAATAGGTTCTTAAAAGGTGAAAAATGACATAATAATTTCTTTCATGGGCAATATAAACAGAAAAGAAAACAAATTTTCAGAATAATTTTTATTTTACTTCAAGTTGTTTTTTCGCTAATATTATTTAAATTGCACTTTTTGTTGCAAGGAACCTGGGAGCAATGAGAAACTTAGTGTGTCATACTAGAATTATTCGCACTAGAAAGAAGCAATGTATAGTGTTCAATTTCTACGTATTCCTTAAGTTTAATGAAAAAAAGCTTGCTTATCTGCTTGGAGTTCAGTTGATGAAAATTGACATGCCCAGGCATTGAAAACAATCAAATTTGCTTATCCATTGTCAGATAAGAGTGGCTAAAACTGCGTTGCTGTTTTTGGGGAGGCCGGGAGCCGGGCAGAATAATTTATATTGTAGGTCCCTCGTACTGAAAAACTGAAAAAGCAGATCATTCATGTTCCAACAGGAAGTAAATTACTTCTTCTAACATGTTGTCTAAGTAGTTGTGGATCCTTGAAATCGGAAAAATTTGTTTATGACAAAACGTCTTTCTGTTTGTTAATAACATTAACTGTTAAAGCATAAGAAGGATTTTCTCCAAATTGATGTTCCAAAATCAATCTGCATGTTGTCATTTCACCTTGAATTTGAAGCTTATACACATATTATTGTGGTTTGGGTGTACTTAACATGGAACCTAAATGTCATTTTCAAAAATGACTCAAAAGTATTTCTTTAGTTTATTCAAATTGAAAAAAACACCCATATAAAAATGGCATATGTACAATTTACATTGAAGTCTCCAACTTTCTAAGAATTGCAAAAGTTAAGACTTTTTTGGCGTCTCCCTACTACTTGAGAATGACAAATATTGATGATAGAAATCTTTTATTTGAATGTAATCTATTCTTCAAAATTAGATCTTTAAATCATGTCATACATAATTTTTTCAAAATATTAGTAGTTTTCATGTAAAAACCATTTTGAAAACAAGATTTTCCAAAATTGACTCTTTAAAGAAGATTTTTCTTTAAACTTTATGAAGGAATAAAGCTAAATGCATTGTATAACTTGTTAATATTATATTACATAACTGTTACAAATAATGTAAGAAAGTACATACCACTTATGTTTGTAGTAGAGATATGTTATGCCGCTCTCACACCTACTTAAAATTTTCAATGAAATCTTGTTGATTCAAACGTTACATTTCTCAGTGTTTGGCTCTTCTCTCACTCCCCCCATTCACACACACACACACACATACTCCCGAGTCAGAGTGGTATGTGTAGTATCTCAAATTTTATTAAAATATTTTATACTAACAGATTTTTTGCTTCATAAGAGTAGGGTGGGAAAAGAGGTAGAAACGTTTGCAAGTTCTGACATGGATATGATACTTGAAGATTATTAAACATTGTGGGTTCTTGAACCAAGCCAGAGATTTATGAATTTCTTCAAAGCATTAATGTGGTACCATGAAGTACAATGTTCACAACAGCTAAATGCTAAGGATCATTAAAAAGAATAGTATGTATATGAAAATGCAACTTTTTAATTAATTTCTTTTCCCCACACAATTGTGTAACAACATATTTTGTCCCTTTATATATTACTTTAATATATTGTCCTTAAAATTTCTACTTCTATTCTGTCTTCAATTTTTATTACAATTTCTTACCTCCAATTACAAAAGTGAAAAGCTGTCATATTTACAATAATTTGATAGTTAATAAATGGATGATATAATTTCTCGCAGGTTTTTACACAGCTGTAATTCAGAATGTAATGAACTCAATATATTTTTTGATATTAGAAAGAAATGCATGCGAGGTGATGAGTTGAATATAATTTTTGTACACAGAAATGAACCTGCATTTTTCAATTTTAATCCCTCTCTTTTATCTCATTTTTATAACAAAGTGTTATGCCTTACCCACTTATTTATATCTGTATATTTTTTTATGACCTCTTACAAAATATACAAATATACAAGTGAAACTACTTGTATTTGAGAAACTGTGAAGATGAGAATTTATAATCACATTTCTTAAATTAACTTTTTTGAACACGTGAGTTTTGCCCTACAGAAGCACAAATGCTTACTGACTGACAATGTCTTTAAATTGTAATTCCTCATTTTTTGTGATGCCACGCTTTCTTTGAGTCACCATAGAAAGAGAATTAATTTTTATATAAAGATGTGAATTGTAGTTTTAAATGTGGTTCCATGAAACTTTTGAATTTAATGCAATTACCAAACATAATGATGAATGAAAATTATTGTTTCATTACAATCCAATTTGAAAAAGTGTCCTTGCTTCCTTTGTAAATAGAGTATTATTTTTAATTTATCTTTAATGTAAACATAATTGTGGTAAAATTTAGGATGACTTGTTGCAATTATAATTTGGAACCTAAGAATTCAGTCAATAAATTCTCCTCCCAGTTCCATTTCTGGTTTATATTTATAATATTCTTAATTATGTACTGAATGTAATACTGTACATTTTGTCAATTTGCACCATTTTTTCAGATGAACCTAATGTAGTCCAATGGTACATTGGTTTTAGATGTAAATAAGTTTCAATCCATTCAAACACTTTGATTGTTCAAATGTGTTCAATTATTTAATATTCTAATTATGTAATTTAACTGTGACTACAGTCAAAATATCACATCTATGCCAAAGTGTGTTAATTTTGTTCCCTTCTCTTCATTATACAAAATAAATGTATATTTTGCTATTTAAAGATTGGTGCAATGACAGTTCAGTCATCTGCATATTTACTTGCTTCTCTGGGAAGCTATTTGAATATTCCTTGCATCGGGGAAATGGCCTAAGCATCTTAGAACATTCCAATAAGAGAACAGTTGAATGAATATTGCAATTAAAGTGACTCACGTTTCTAGAGCTGGGACATAAATATATTTGTGATGATGACGGAAGATTAGCTGCGAAATTGTATCCCCAGTTTGTCAGAGGTGAGGTTCCTAGATATGTAAAAATGGGTAGCAGATACCATTTGCTGGACAATCCTATTGCTCAATTTATTTAGAATTTGTTTTAATAAAGACTGAGAAACAGTGGTTGTTCTTGTTTTCACAAGAATAATAATAATAACGATAGTAAAAATTAATTCTTCTTTGAAGCTCCTCTCTTTAGATGATTTGTTTAATGAAAATGACTCCAATGTGTAAACAATGAATGTTAGCATCAGATAACATAGGAAATAGTCCTGAATTAATTTTATTTGTAGATCATATATCACAATGGTTTATAACAGATTCACAATGTAAATTAAATTAGAAAATTTCACCCACAAAATAAGAGGAGCAAGGAAAGAAGATTAAAAAATGTAACCAACTTTTCACCGTAAGAATAGCATATACTTCCAGAGCTTCGTATGTATTAACTGTTGTAAAGCTACCGTGTTCCAAATATCATGAAATTGATATCATCTGTAACAAAGATATATTTGATGTGAATTATGTCTTGAGAAAGTGATGTGTTGCATCTCAAACTGAAATGTCTAAAACTGTCTATATTGTAAATAAAATGTAATTAGTTTCAAATAGAGAATGATTTATTTCTAACACTTTCTGAGAACAATGTGCTTTTTTGTTCATTAAATGACTATTTCACTTCACCATCAACCCCAATTACATTCAATAAACCAACTCTCTTTCTTGAAAATTACCTCTTTTGTCTCATCTCATTTTCATCGCTGCAAAACCATAATAATCAACAAAACAAATCAATGATCAATAATAAATTAACCTACCCATTATGAATGGATCTAAATTAAGTTCACTTAAGTTTTACACAAATTTCAAAGTTAATTTAATAAATAGAAAGGGTATTCAGTGTTCCTTAATTTTGATTTAGAATTCAATCCTTGGTTGAACAATATTTGGTTGATATTTTACCTGGGCATGTTTGTGGAAAATGGATTGATTAGATCCAAGAAGACAACT